AGTAACTTTTGCAAGTTACGTGCACACCTCCAAGCAATGTAATCATTCCCCATATAAAAACCGCGTGAACATAGACGATTTTGGAGGCGCCTCAAAAAACATCATAGGGGAGCAAGTAGATGGCACGTTTTTAGGCACACCTTTAGGCACATCTTGTAGGCACATCTTGTAGGCACATCTTGTAGGCATGGACAAAGAACAATGCACGGCTCACCTCATGGCAAGGGAAGCACAAGTTACCTGCCCTTGGGGATGGCGTTGAGAATGTTGACAACGCTGTAGGACATCGAGTAGACGGCACAATAGGCAGATGACTTAGCAATTCAGGTAAGAACATGGATGCATCACCTGCCCTTTGGGATACAGTTGAGAATGTTGACGACGACGTAGGAGAGCGGGTAGACAGCACAATAGGAATGGAAAACTCAGCAATTTAAGAGCATGGATTCATCACCTGCCCTTTGGGATGAAGTTGCGGATGTTGTCGACATCGCAGGAGAGCAAGTAGATGGCATAATAAGGATGAATGACTCAGCAATTGAAGAGCAAGGATGCATCACCTGCCCTTGGGAATGGAGCTGAGAATGTTGACGACATCGGCGAGTGGACAACACATTAGGCATGGACGACCCAGCAATTTAAGAGCATGGACGCATGCTACTGGCGATTTTAAGCTCACGAATCTTGAGCTTGCGAACAGCCATACTGTACGTACATGGATGTGAAACCGGCTGTTTCTCAGAGCAGGCAGGGTTTCTAAGTAGCTGCTTCATTCGCACATCAGGCTTGCAGATGCCGGAACACCGGCCATCCCAAATAGCCACAGCAGAGGGCGCGCAGCTCCGCTGGCAGAGAGGCGGGGTCTCCTCATGCGATACGTTGAAGGCAAGCATCCATGCTCCCATACTCACATTCTCACTCACGAGCATCCTCAGCCTGCCACCGTGACAATAACAAGACGAGAGATGACCAGTACAAGAGCTGGGTTTTGAATCGAACAACCCTTTCTAGCAGCGCCTGGCTGTTGAGAGTATTGGCCTGTCGACTACTCACATCCCACCTCATAGCAAGAGAAGCACGGCCCTCCTCGTTACTGGCGATTCATGACATACCCGCCCTGGGAGTGCATGACCCGCCCTTGGGAATGCACCACTCACCCTTCAAAATGCATGACTCAACCTTGGGAATGAATGACTCACCCATGCTGTTGAGATGCATGAATGACTCACCCACCATTGAGAATGGAGCTGAGAATACTAGCAATTCATGACACAGACAAATACCTCATGCAGGGCATACATGCACGGCTCACCTCGTTGCAAGATAAACACCTCATGCAGGGCATACATGCACGGCTCACCTCGTTGCAAGATAAATACCTCATGCAGGGCATACATGCACGGCTCACCTCGTTGCAAGATAAATACCTCATGCAGGGCATACATGCACGGCTCACCTCGTTGCAAGATAAATACCTCATGCAGGGCATACATGCACGGCTCACCTCGTTGCAAGATAAATACCTCATGCAGGGCATACATGCACGGCTCACCTCGTTGCAAGGCAAATGCAAGGCATCCTCAACTCACCTGCCCTTGGGGGTGGCATCGAGGATTTGGACCGCGCTGTAGGAGAGCAAGTAGATGGGACCAGCCGCATACAGGAAATACTTCGGCCCCAGCAGCCATGCCTGGGGCTCATACCTGCACAGAACAGAAACAGGGAGAGGTCAATAGTGAGTATGTGAACAGCAGGAACCAGGTGAGGGATTGGTTTGCATGGTTCACAAAACAGACCACGAGAAACAGTGTGTAGTGAGGTGTATTTTGAGGTGCCTCAAAGGAACCAGGTGAGGGATCGGTTTGCATGGTTCACAAAACAGGCCACGAGAAACAGCAGGAGACAGTAGTCGAGTTTGGCTGAGAAGACCGGAAAGACATGGAAGAAATGGAAGTCGTGTAGTATGGCAACTCCCCACCTTTTGAGACGCCTCGAAACATGGCAACTCACCACCTTTTGAGACGCCTCAAAACATGGCAACTCACCACCTTTTGAGACGCCTCGAAACATGGCAACTCACCACCTTTTGAGGCGCCTCGAAACATGGCAACTCACCACCTTTTGAGACGCCTCGAAACATGGCAACTCACCACCTTTTGAGACGCCTCGAAACATGGCAACTCACCACCTTTTGAGACGCCTCGAAACATGGCAACTCACCACCTTTTGAGACGCCTCGAAAAATGGCAACTCACCACCTTTTGAGACGCCTCGAAACATGACAACTCAACAACTTTTGAGACGCCTCGAAACATGGCAACTCACCACCTTTTGAGACGCCTCGGAACATGGCAACTCACCACCTTTTGAGGCGCCTCGAAACATGGCAACTCACCACCTTTTGAGGCTCCTCGAAACATGGCAACTCACCACCTTTTGAGGCTCCTCGAAACATGGCAACTCACCACCTTTTGAGGCTCCTCGAAACATGGCAACTCACCACCTTTTGAGGCTCCTCGAAACATGGCAACTCACCACCTTTTGAGTCTCCTCGAAACATGGCAACTCACCACCTTTTGAGGCTACTCGAAACATGGCAACTCACCACCTTTTGAGGCTCCTCGAAACATGGCAACTCACCAGCTCATCTTGGGGTTATTAACCACCTTTTGAGACGCCTCGAAACATGGCAACTCACCACCTTTTGAGGCGCCTCGAAACATGGCAACTCACCACCTTTTGAGACGCCTCAAAACATGGCAACTCACCACCTTTTGAGACGCCTCGAAACATGGCAACTCACCACCTTTTGAGGCTCCTCGAAACATGGCAACTCACCACCTTTTGAGACGCCTCGAAACATGGCAACTCACCACCTTTTGAGACGCCTCGAAACATGGCAACTCACCACCTTTTGAGACGCCTCGAAACATGGCAACTCACCACCTTTTGAGACGCCTCGAAACATGGCAACTCACCACCTTTTGAGACGCCTCGAAACATGGCAACTCACCACCATTTGAGACGCCTCGAAACATGGCAACTCACCACCTTTTGAGACGCCTCGAAACATGGCAACTCACCACCTTTTGAGGCTCCTCGAAACATGGCAACTCACCACCTTTTGAGGCTCCTCGAAACATGGCAACTCACCAGCTCATCTAGGGGTTATTAACCACCTCAGTTCCGTTGTGGAAGCATCCAAGGTAGGTTTGAGGTGATTTCCTTGGCGTGGCGATCAGAGAAGAGAGGCGCTCTGTAGGGCTGCACAGAACCAGGCGGTAGAGAAGCAGGGGCGAACAGACTCAGGCAGCAGAGGAGAGAGGCGATCTCTAGGGAAGAACAGAACCAGGCAGCAGAGGAGAGAGGCGATCTCTAGGGGCGAACAGAGCCAGGCAGCAGAGGAGAGAGGCGATCTCTAGGGAAGAACAGAACCAGGCAGCAAAGGAGAGAGGCGATCTCTAGGGAAGAACAGAACCAGGCAGCAGAGGAGAGAGGCGATCTCTAGGGAAGAACAGAACCAGGCAGCAGAGGAGAGAGGCGATCTCTAGGGAAGAACAGAACCAGGCAGCAGAGGAGAGAGGCGATCTCTAGGGAAGAACAGAACCAGGCAGCAGAGGAGAGAGGCGATCTCTAGGGAAGAACAGAACCAGGCAGCAGAGTCTGGGACTCGTGAGAGCAAAGACTTTCAAAGTCGGCAGCAACATATGAATCTCATCACCTTCCCCACAGGAAGCTTTCAGGCACTATGAGGTACAACCACACTCAATCACATCAGCCACCCTTTCACTATGTAAGGTCAAATGGATGCTTCCATTCGCCTGACTTGGAAAGAACATTTTATTTGAGGTTTATTTTGAGAATTCTCAAAATCAACGACCTACAACCACACTCAGTCACATCAGCCACCCTTCCACTATGTAAGGTCAAATGGATGTTCCCATTCGCCTGACTAGGAAGAACCCCGTTCCATAGCGCTTGGGATTTTGGAGGGCTTTGAAACCGAGGGCTTTAGAACCCCACCCAGCCTCAAGAGCATGGGAAGATGTAAGATGGGCGAACCTGGTATCAAGAAGATGTCGTCGTCTGCCTTCACAGAACTCGGCTTCATAGAGCTTGAAGACTGTCGTGAAAAACTTCAGAGTGGCGAGAGATGCACAGGGATAGAAAATTTCAAGAGCATGTGGAGAAATAATTAGTAAAAGTTCAACAATCACTGGTAATAAAAAAAGGTACAGGATTCTGTAACCTAACCTTTACATTACCAATCTCTGTCTCGATAAGAAATACCATCAAGAATCTAACAATGCAACAAAGAATAGCAGAGAATAGCCGGCACAACAGTTGAACGAATAGCAGAGAATAGAAGGCAAGGGAGATGAACGAAACTCCAAGGAGCTACAGCAGGTAAGCGGACGGCACAAAGAACGCATGATCATTCAGAGCTTCAGACGCAGCAGCACAGCAGCACGTGAGGAGGAAGAAGTATAATAACCGCGAGCACATCACGCGATCTTCATGCCATGAGAGGTCCATACGTCGCCATCACATGGGGTGACTTTGAGTTGTCACAAAGGTCACCTCACACACCACGCTATCATCATGTCATCACGTGAGCACCTCATGACATCAACATAACAACAGCGAGCTCCTCACACTATTAGCAGGCAACGGAAGCCGAGTTGACTTTTGAGTCGACTCAAAAGTTGACTTAAGTTTTGAGTCGACTCAAAAGTCAACTCGGTATAATGTCACACAGTATTTTGAGTCGACTCAAACATCAACATAACAACAGCGAGCTCCTCACACTATTAGCATGCCATGGAAGCCGCATACGTCACCATTGCGTGAGCACCTTACATTGCCACCACACGAGCACCTCGCATTGCCAGCACACGAGCACCTTGCATTGCCATCACACGAGCACCTTACATTGCCATCACACGAGCACCTTACATTGCCATCACACGAGCACCTCGCATTGCCATCACGCGAGCACCTCATGTCTTGCGGCTGAGATTGAGGTATCCCTCCTGGGTGTCGATGCGAAGGAAGTCCCCGTGAGTGCTGTTCTCCGCCTGCAGCAGCTGCTCTTCCGCATCACCGCTGCTTCCTCTGTCTGTGCTGCTTCCTCCGTCTGTGCCACCGTGCCCGATGATGAACCGGAACACCAACCCCGTTGCTGCTTCTACCCTGGGATGCATGTAGGGGGGAGAGGGAAGGGGGGTGGGGGGGGGGGGGGGGGGGTGGGGATGGGGAGGGCAGGGGGCGCCTGCAGCAGCCGCTCGGCCACTGTGCTCCTGCCATGCCCCATGATGAACTGGAACAGCAGCCCCGTTGCTGCTTCTACCCTGGGAGACATGCAAAAGGGGAAAGCCCCGTTGCTGCTTCTACCCTGGGAGACATGCAAAAGGGGAAAGCCCCGTTGCTGCTTCTACCCTGGGAGACATGCAAAAGGGGAAAGCCCCGTTGCTGCTTCTACCCTGGGAGACATGCAAAAGGGGAAAGCCCCGTTGCTGCTTCTACCCTGGGAGACATGCAAAAGGGGAAAGCCCCGTTGCTGCTTCTACCCTGGGAGACATGCAAAAGGGGAAAGCCCCGTTGCTGCTTCTACCCTGGGAGACATGCAAAAGGGGAAAGCCCCGTTGGTATGTGAGGGAGGAGGACGGGGAGGGGGAAGGGGTGCAGAGAGAGAGAGAGAATATGTGAATGGAGAAGGGCGAGGAGAGGGGGCATGGGAGGGGAATGGGGGGAAAGGGTGCAGAGAGGGCACAATGCGTATGAGCTGGAACAACAGCCCTGTTGCTGCTTTCATCATGAACTTGCTACACCTCGTGCTGCACGCCCTCATGCCCCACGCCCTCATGCCCCACGTCCTCATGCCCCACTTGTGTGGCTCCCTCGGGCGCGGAACCACCTCTCGCGAGTGACGATCAGAGGCGACCCAAAGCATGCTTCCGCTATACCGCTCACCACCTACCCCTGCCCTATGCCGCTGCGCTATCGCCCTTGCGCTATGAACCTGCGCTGTGCCCCTGCGCTGTGCCCCTGCGCTGTGCCACATGGACAATGTCCCTCCGCCATGCCCCCAATCATCCCTGCCATGCCTGGCGACCTACCGCGCGTGCTCCTCGGGCGTGCACCTCACATACCCCCATTCCCCCTCGCTGTTTCCCCCACAGATGATGGCCTACCGCGCGTGCTCCTCGGGCGTGGCGGGGAACCACGTCTCGCGAAGCAGAGTGCGCCTCTTGCGGCTGCAGCCGAAACCGGTCTGCACCCCGACGAACCCCAGCACGCGCTTCCTGCCCGGGTACCGCAACCGATCTGCACTCCTCTCGTCCATCCCTTGCGGGTCCTCGGCCAAAGGTCCGGCGATCGCGGCTGTTGCTTCAACCGGCGGCCATGCAGGATAAGCGCCCATTGAGGCTATCATTTGCGGAAAAGGAGGTTCTCGTTAGTCTCATTCCGAGCAGCCATGGATTGAAGAAGTGTATGTTCTGCCTCCCAACATTCCCGCGCCCTCGGGAATGCCGTGCCAGCTAACGTCGAACTCCCGTGGGCTATCCGGCATGGACGGCCGGCAATCAACTGACCGCGGGCAGAAACAAATTTGAGGGTCGGGATGGGATATGACCCGGCGCATTGTGTTTTGAGCTGGGCGCTTTCGAGACGCGTGCCATCAAAATGGGGGAAGCTGAGAAAACATCTAGTTGTTTTGACGGCCCGTCTAATCGCCTGACTAAGGGAAACAGTACTTCTTTGTCTGTGAGTGGCCCGGATTTGTGAACGCTGATATTTCTGTGCCGATCAGGAAAGGAATGGTGGCTGCTGCCTGCCGCCGTTCAGACATTCTGCTCGCTTCCATTCCATCTAATGAGAGACAGCTCGAAACGCATCCAAACCAAGCACGCCTTGAGCCGAGCGAGGGCTGCCTGTACCTTACACTTCGAGAAGAGTCTGGTGCTCTCGCCTGCACCATGATGCGATACAAGGAAATGCGATACAACAACGGCAAAGGTAATTATGACTTTGGAAACCTGGTAAGATGATATTTCCGATTGGCTATCTACATTTAGACAAAACAGATGCAATCTTTGCACTTAAAGTGCCTTCTGTCAAATGTTGTAGCCTGTAGTGAGGCTTGTCTTAGGGGGTACACATATTAGGGTTTGCCATATGTACCCCAACCCACATCAATAAAGACACAATTCGGTTTCTAACATGGTATCGTTAGGATCGTGTAGGATCCCGTTCCTCGTGCTCGAGCCTCCAAAGCCTCACGCGCCTCACTCGTCCCGTCCTGTCTCGTAGAGCTGCAGTAGCACCCCTTTCGTATGCCCGTCCGCCGCGCGCCTGCAATACCGCTTGCCGCAGCGCGTTCGACCCGTTCTCGCGCCCGTCCTGTCCTGTCCCCCGTCCCGTCCCGCGCCTGCCCGTTAGGCCCGCCGCGGGCCCTCCCTTCGCGCCGCCGCGCCTGCCCGCTAGGCCCGCCGCCGTGCCTGCCCGTTAGGCCCGCCGTAGCGCCTGCTCGTTAGGCCCGCCGCGGACCCTACCTTCGCGCCGTCGCGCCTGCCCGGTAGGCCCGCCGCGGGCCCTCCCTTTGCACCGTCGCGCCTACCCGTTAGGCCCGCCGCCGCTCCTGCCCGTTAGCCCGCCGCCGCGCCTGCTCGTTAGGCCAGCCGCGGGCCCTCCCTTCGCGCCGCCGCGCCCGCCCTTTCTACCCGCCGCTGCGCCCGCTCGTTAGGCCCGCCACGGGCTCGCCCTTTAGCCGCTGCCGCGCCTGTCAGCTACGCCCGCCGCGGGCCCGTCCCTTGCGCTCGCCGCGGGCCTGCACTCGCTGTCCGCCGCGCTTGTCCGTACCACCTGCCGCGCCTGCCCCTAGAGCCTGCCGCGGCCCTGCCCTTCGAGCCCGCTGTGGGCCTGCGTTCTTCCGCTTGCCGCCTCTTCCCTTTGCGCTCGTTGTGGGCCTGCCCTTAGAGCTCGCCGTGCCGGCCTTGTAGGGTCCTTCGCTTTGACGCCGCCGTTTCTGCTTTCGCTATGACGACCCCTATGGTCCTTCGCTTTGACGCCGAGGGTAGGCCCCTCGAGTTCTCTGTCTTGCTCCAGCGTGCGCAGCGTCTCCTAGAGAGTCAGGTGCAGGCAAACGAGTCTCTATGGGCGCACGCATCCGGTGACCTCCCCGCGCCCCCCGCTCCTGCTACCCTAGGACTTGACGCTACCCCGGAGGATAGAGAGCATATTGCACGTCAGCGTGCTCACCTGACTGCCTGGCGATCGCGCGACGCAGCGGCCTGCATCGCCCTCAGCAGCCTCCTCCTTGAGTCCGAGGAGACCCATTTTGCACAGATTCGCACAGCTAGTGAGTTCCTTACTGCGATTAAGGCCCGCTATGCTACTCCTTCCACCGTCTCTCTTGGCCGCCTGTTCCTCCCCTTCCTGTTCCCTGACCTCGCCTCGTTTGAGCGCTCTGCTGACCTAATTGCTCACCTGTGCTCACTTGACGCTAGCTTTCGCGCTGCTTGCACTGACGCACAGCTTGCACTGCTGCCTCCCCCCATGGCGATCACTATCTATTTCATCGTCACTAGCCTCCCTGACCGCCTTGCTTCGGTTCGTGACGCGCTTCTTCTGAAGCACCCTAGCGAGCTCACTATCGGCGTCCTTGAGTCTGCTCTCAAGGACGTCGAGAGCAACCTCCGCTCGATAGCCTCCGCCTCTGGTGTTGTGCCCCCCCCACTGTTTCACGGGTGCACGGTCCCTCAGCTACCCACCTTCACTGCCTCCCTTGCCACTGCCTCGACTGACGTGACCGCCGCTACTGCTACAACTTATTCGCGGTCTAGGGGTCGGAGTGGCAAAAGGGGCGGACAGGGTGCGGGCGGCGGTGGTGGTGGTGGCGGAGGTGGAGCTGCGGGTGGAGGTGGCGTGGTGAGTGGCGGTGGTGGGAGTACAGAGGGTGGAGGAGTGCCTCGTGCAGCGGCTAGTGACTCCCATGCTGCAGCCAGTGGAGGTGACGCTCGGGTATGTCAGGCACCGACTGGTCCGCCAGCTGTAGGTGCAGGAGTGGCGGCTTGGTACCTGACTCAGCGCCAGCGGCAGCAGCAATAGCCCCTCCCCTCGCAGCAGCCACAGCAGCAGCAGAGGCAGCAGTAGATTCCGGGGCAGGGGTCAAGACCGCGTCAGCTGTCGCGTGGTGCCGTCCACCCTCCCTGCACCTATCACGTTCTGACAGGTGCCCGCCGAGGCCAGCCTTGTGGCCGCAGCCACCCACCGGGTCCGTGTTTTGCTCAGCTGACTAACACGGTTCAGTTGGCCAACGGCATTGACGGCCCTGCCCCTGACTGGCTTCCCCTTGTTCAGACGTATGGTCCCGCTCTATGGGGCATATCAGCTTCTCAGTTGGTTGATCTCTTAGGAACTCCTCATGCTATGTATGCTGTTGTTGTTTCTAGTGCTTCTGACTCTGTTTACTCGAGTATTGTTAGCTTAGGTGCTAGTCTTGCTGAGGTGCCTATTGCTAGTGTAGGTACTTGTGTAGACACTAGTCCAGGAGCTGCTCCGGAGGACGCTTCGCTGTCATTCACTCTGGACTCAGGAGCTTCGCGCTGTTTCTTCCGCGACCGTACGACCCTTACCCCGCTTCCTACACCGTTCTCTGTAGCACTGGCTGATCCCACTTTGGGATCAGTCACCGCTCGCTACACTACTACGCTTCCGTGCCCGGCTGTTCCCTCTGGTTCTCTAACTGGCTTCCACGTCCCCTCGTTCTCGAGGAACTTGGTGGGCGTGAGGTCGCTCATTGGTCAGCACGTGGGTGTGTGGATTGAGCCTTCTGGCGAGACTACGGTTTGTGTCGACGGAGACACGTACGCGCCTCTCGCCACCTTTACCGCTGAGCCGGGCTCTGGTCTCTACACACTTCACACTAGCCCCCATGGGCAGCAGTAGCAGCAGCAGCGGCGGCAGCAGCGGCGGCAGCAGCAGCAGCAGCAGCAGCGACAGAAGCTACTGCCCCCGGCCCCTGTCACTGCCCCCCGTCAGGTTCCCTCGTCTCACCAGGTTGCCGCATCTCCCCAGGTAGCTGTGTCTGGTCAGGTTCCAGTGTCTGGTCCAGTTGCTGCGTCTTGCTCCTGCTGGTCACTTGCCCACCCCACCGTTTTGTGGCACCACCGGATGGGGCACCCGTCCATTCCTTGCCTGCGCGCTATGTCTAGTCAGGTCTTGTATTAGGCCTCCTGCGTGTCTTGCCGTCGCTGCCGCCTTCGCTTGCCCCACCTTGCGGTCCCTGCGTCGAGGGTCGGCTGCGCACCACCCCTCACTCCTCCTCCTTCGTCCGGCCACCGAGCCCTTCGAGACTCTCAACTTGGACGTCTGGGGCCCCGCCCTTCGCCCTGTCCCTGAGTGAGAGAGTTTCTTCCTGGTGGTCGTTGAGGACTACTCTCGTTACACCACAGTGTTCCCCCTGGCGAAGAAGTCTGAGGTAACTTCTACGCTGATCCGGTAGTTGCTTACCACTGCGGACACTCGTGGTCGTCGTGTCAGCTGTCTTCACTCCGACCGTGGGAGTGAGTTTCGCTCCGGCATTCTCGCTGGATTCTATCGCGAGCAGGGCATCCGCCAGTCCTGAAGGCTTCCAGAGTCCCCATAGCAGAATGGGGTTGCTGAGCGCCGCATAGGCTTGGTCATGGAGATTGCATGCACCTCCATGATCCACGCCCGTGCGCCCCAGCGGTTCGGTACGCCGCTCACCAGCTGAACCTCTGGCCACGTGTCTCTCGGCCAGAGGCTTCACCGACCAGTCTTTGGACCGGGTCCCCTGGTGTTGCGTCGCGTTTTCGTGTTTGGGGCTGCTTGGTGCTTGTTCGAGACACCTTCGCGGATAAGCTCTCCCCTTGCGCCCTTCCCTGTGTCTTCCTTGGTTTCCCGGTTGACTCCTCTGACTTCACCTTTTACCACCCTCCCCTTCACCGTTTCTTTGACTCCCGCGACGTTCGTTTTGTCGAGTCAGTCCCCTACTACATCCGGTACCCCTGTCGAGGTCTTTCGGTACCTCCTCACCCTCTCTTCCTGACTCCCGCCCCCCCTCCTGCCCCTCAGGTACAGGCCCCTCCCCCTGGTCCAGCCCCGTCAGGTATGTCACACGCTACCCCTCCCCCCTCGATAGGCCCTCAGGTGCCGTCCCCTTCCCCACAGTCCTCCTCCCAACCTACAGCAGACCCTGTGGGAGCTGGTTTTGGTGGCGAGGACCCTGGAGGTGCTAGCTCTGGAGGTGCTAGAGTCGGAGCAGAGAGCGTACCTGTGCGAGGTCCTGGTTCTTGGGGTGCTGGAGTTGGAGCTGAGCCCGTGTCTGTAGGAGACTCTAGTATTCGGGGAGCTGGTGTTAGTGAAGCTGTCCCTGGGGGTGCTACGACTGGGGGTGCACCCTCTGCTGGACCTTGAGAGCCCAGGACGGGCCCTGTTACTTCTTTTGGTGCTGGCTCTGGGGGTGGTGCGCCTGGTTCTTTGGAGAGCGGTCCTGGGGCTACCGCCGCTCCGGACACTACTCCTCCCCCCCACCCCTACCCGACCTGGCACCAGGCCCGTGCTCGCCGTGCCCGTGAGGAGCAGCTCGAGTTGGAGCGAGAGGAGAGAGAGTTGGAGCGGCGGCAGCTAGAGCTACAGCGGCTGGAGCAGCAGCAGCAGCAGCAGCAGCAGCAGCAGCAGCCGCAGCAGAAGCAGTAGCAGCAGCAGGAGCCGCCGCAGCTGGAGGAGCAGCAGTCGCAGCCGCAGCAGCAGCAACAACCGCCACCTCCTCCTCCTGTCTCTGGTCTTCGGTCCGTCGGTCTTCCCTCTCCCTCTCCTCCCGTCTCTGGTCCTCCACTTCCTCCTCCTGACCCCTCCCCAGCGGTTTTCCCTCCTCCTGAGCCCCCGCTGTCCCCTCCTCTTTCCCGCACTTAGCCTTCGCGTCGCTCTCCTCGTACTCGTCCCTCGTTCCCTGTTCCTTTCACTGACCTTTGTACTGCCCTGTTTTGTTCTAGTCCGTCTCGTTCGTCTCCTTCTGTACTTCCTTCTCCTCCTGAGTCGGCTCTCACTGCTTCCCTCTCTACTCCTATCACTGACTACTACCGCACGTACCGACCTGTTCCCTCTCGTATTCTCGCCTCTCTTGTTACCGACCCTCGTGCCTCTCCGTCTTCTGTGTCCGCTCTTACTGCCGCAGTCACTGAGTTTGCCTGCACTCGCCGCCTTGACTACGCCACCGGTCTTGTGGCCGCTCCTCCTACCAGTCCTCTAACCGTCGGGGGTGAGTCTGCCCTTGGCTGTGACGCCCTAGAGGACAGGCAGTTTGAGCTAGAGTTCCTGGCAGCCGCTTCCCCACATCTCTGTGCCATGCTGCTCGCCCCTGAGGGAGACCCCGACGCCCTTGACATACTGACTCCTCGCACTTATGCTGAGGCAGTGTCAGGGCCTTCGGCCTCTCAGTGGAGAGCTGCCATGAACGCAGAGATGGCCTCCTACAGATCCACAGGCACCTACGTCGACGAGGTTCCCCCCCTTGGGGCGAACGTAGTTGATGGCATGTGGATCTACAGGGTGAAACGGCCACCGAGATCTCCTCCGGTATTCTCTGCGCGCTACGTGGCTAGAGGTTTCAGTCAGCGCGAGGGAGTTGACTTCTTTCAAACCTTCGCGCCTACCCCAAAGATGACCACTCTTCGGGTGTTACTGCACGTAGCAGCACAGAGAGACTACGAGTTACACTCTCTCTACTTCTCCACTGCTTTCCTTCAGGGTAGCTTACACGAGGAGGTCTGGCTGCGTCGTCCCTCTGCCTTCACTGGCACTTTCCCTCCTGGGACCCAGTGGAGGCTGAGGCGACCTGACTACGGTCTTCGTCAGGCTCCTCGTAAGTGGCACAACACTCTTCGTTCTACCCTCTCTGACCTTGGGTTCCAGCCGTCTTCTGCCGACCTGTCGATGTTCGTTCGTCGTGGCTCAACACCGTTCTTTGTTCTGGTCTACGTCGACGACCTGGTTTTCGCCACTGCTGACAGGGTTGCCTTGGCAGACGTGAAGTCCGAACTGCAGAAGAGACACACGTGCACTGACCTTGGTGAGCTGCGTCACTACCTTGGCCTGCAGATCACCAGGGACAGAGCTGCTCGCACCATTACACTTTCACAGTCACACATGGTGCAGCAGGTCCTTCAGCGGTTCGAGCTTCAGCACTCCACAGTACAACGCACACCTCTTGCTGTTGACCACAGACTCACTGGACCCTTTCCTGACGAGCCGTTTAAGTCCAGTGGTCCCTACGCAGAGCTAGTGGGCTGCCTCATGTACCTGATGACTTGTACTCGCCCGGACCTCGCCTTCCCTCTCAGCGTCCTTGCTCGCTTTGTTGTGCCAGGGAGGCACCGTCCTGTTCACTGGACGGCAGCTGTGAGGGTGGCGAAGTACCTAGCGACGACATCAGGCGTGGGGCTAGTTCTTGGTGGGCAGCAGCCTGTCGTACTTACTGGTCACTGTGACTCTTCTTACGCTGACGACGCTGAGACTCACAGGTCTACTCAGGGGTACTGTTTCAGCTTAGGTTCTGAAGCTGTTTCCTGGCGGTCCACGCGCTCCTCTTCAGTCACGACCTCTACAGCCGAGGCTGAGATCTACGCTGGTGCCATGGCGGCACAGGAGCTGCGTTGGTTGACATTTTTGCTCGCCGACCTTGGTGAGCGGCCGAGCTCTGCACCGACCTTGTTCACTGACAACAAGGCGTCGATTCTCCTTTGCCGAGAGCCGCGACTGGAGAGCAGAGTGAAGCACATTAACGTCAGGTACTTTCTTCTGCGAGAGTTGCAGAGACGTGGACAGGCTCGCTTCGAGTTTGTGGAGTCCGAGGCCAACACTGCAGACATCTTCACCAAGGCGCTTCCGCCTTGTGACCACCAGAGGTGTTGTGTGCAGTTAGGCCTTGTTGACACAGTTTCTAGTCGTGTATAGGCTTGAGTCTACTGTTTGTTTTGCTTGTACTCTTGCTATACACACTTGTGAACTCTCGAACTGGCCTTGTGGCCCCTGTTGCTTGTGCTCAGAGTGTGTGGTGACGTGATCCACCCTGAGCTTTGTTTCTTTGTGACTGTTCTTGTGACTGTACACTTTGGTTTTGCTTGACAACCCTCACTTAGGCTATGGGGGTGTGTCAAATGTTGTAACTTGTAGTGAAGTTTGTCTTAGGGGGTGCAGATGTTAGGGTTTGTTATGTGTACCCCAACCCACATCAATGAACCAACACTTTCATTCTTGAGACGGAACACCTAGGGTCCCAGATGGCTACCGCAGTGTGCCCAGCAGCTAAACTCATCCTTTCCCAGTACAGGCACCGTTTGTATGTAACTCCTTCATGCGCCTTTCAATATGGCAAATGCCGGAACACCTGTGGTCCCAGATGGCCACCGCAGTGTGCCCAGCAGCTAAACTCGTCCTTTCCCAGTACAGGCACCGTTTGTATGTAACTCCTTCATGCGCCTTTCAATATGGCAAATGCCGGAACACCTGTGGTCCCAGATGGCCACCGCAGTGTGCCCAGCAGCTAAACTCGTCCTTTCCCAGTACAGGCACCGTTTGTATGTAACTCCTTCATGCGCCTTTCAATATGGCAAATGCCGGAACACCTGTGGTCCCAGATGGCCACCACAGTGTGCCCAGCAGCTAAACTCGTCCTTTCCCAGTACAGGCACCGTTTGTATGTAACTCCTTCATCCGCCCTTCAATATGGCAAATGCCGGAACACCTGGGGTCCCAGATGGCCACCGCAGTGTGCCCAGCAGCTAAACTCGTCCTTTACCAGTGCAGGCACCGTTTGTATGTAGCTCCTTCATTCGCCTTTCAATATGGCAAATGCTGGAACACCTGTGGTCCCAGATGGTCACCGCAGTGTGCCCAGCAGCTAAACTCGTCCTTTCCCAGTACAGGCACCGTTTGTATGTAACTCCTTCATGCGCCTTTCAATATGGCAGATGCCGGAACACTGGGCATCCCAGATGGCCACTGCAGAGCGCGAGCACCTCTTCTGGCAGAGAGACGGCGTCTTCTCGTGAGACACGTCAAAGGCAAGCATCCACGCTCCCATGCTCGCATCCTCGTTCACGAGCATTCTCATCCTGCGAGATAGGAGAACAGAGATGGGAGAACAGAGATGGGAGAACAGAGATGGGAGAACAGAGATGGGAGAACAAGGCACGACTTTTGAAAGGCCTCAATGCGTGCAACTCTTCTGGCAGAGGGATAGCGTCTTCGTTAATGACGCCTCAAAGGCGAGCATCCACGCTCCCATGCTCGCATCCTCGTTCAGAAACATCCTCATCCTGCAGACCGACCGTGAGAGGAATGAGACCAGAGACGGGAGAACAAGGTACGGCTTTTGAGGCGCCTCCATACTCCTCGCACCCTCAAACCCTCCTCCCCTTGGGAATGGCGTCGAGAATTCGGACCGCGTCGCAGGAGAGGGGGAGATGGGGGCGTAGACCTGCAGGGAATATGTGCACGGCTCACCTCGTTGCAAGACAAATGCAAGGCATCTACAACCCACCTGCCCTTGGGAATGGAGTTGAGAGTCTGGACGACGTCATGGGAGAGCAAGTAGATCGGGCTGGCTGGACGCATACAGGAAATACATGCACGGCTCACCACGTTGCATGACAAGCTCGGCTCATCTTGCCGCAATACAACTGACCTGCCCTTGGGGATGGAGTTGAGAATCTGGACGACGTCGTAGGAGAGCAAGTAGATGGCACCCGATGCATACAGGTGATACTCCGCCCCCAGCAGCCACGCCTGGGGCTCAAACCTGCACAGAGCAAGACACAAGAAGAAAGCGGAAAGGAAGAAGGTGAGCCCAGGTAAGGGTCAGGGATGAGCGTGAGTGAGCAGGGAGCAGGTGACGATGAAGCTGTTGCATTCGTTGAAAAGACAGCATTGTTGACAAGACAGCATTGCTCAGGAGAACAGCAGGAGTGGTCGCCTGACTTGACGGCGATTGAAAACATTAGGAACACTAGGAATACCAAACATTAGGGTGTTCTGAGTCGACTCAAACCATAGGGATACCAGACTGCTTTAGAAACTGAGTACACTGCATGCTGCATGCACTGAGAAAGCTGCCAAAAGGAGTGCCAGCGAGCGTGATCTTGGTGTAAAATGGCAACTCACCACCTCTTCTTGGGGTCAGTGATCACGTTTCCCTTTTTGAAGCATCTTTTGAGGCGCCTCAAAAGTCGATTTAGGTGCAGTGGCAGGCAGGCAACTCACCACCTCTTCTTGGGGTCAGTGATCACATTTCCCTTTTTGAAGCATCCCAGGTACGTTCGAGGTGACGCCCTTGGCTTGGCGATCAGAGCAGAGAGGCGCTCTGTAGGGACAGGCAGCAGAGGGCGGGTGTCGTGAGAGCAAGGAATCTGAATGTCGCCAGCAACAGACGATCCTTACAGAAATCATCGTCGTGCGTCTGCTCGCAGAAAGCTCACGCACGCACGCACGCACGCACGCACCCACGCGCGCACCCACGCATGCACGCACGCACGCACACACCCACGCACAATCCCAAAAGGCACCCCTGCTCTGCCTGACTTCAAATGGATGTAATGTGCCCATCTGGCTGACATAAAACCCCGTTTCAAAGCACTTGGGTTTGGGACTTCTTAAAGCCCGGCTTCACAGAGCCTCGGGAGGTGTATCTAAGACGGGCGCACCTGGCATCAAGAAGATGTCGACGTCTATTTTGACGTAGAACTTGGCTTCGTAGAGCTTGACACACACACGCACGCACGCACACACACACACACACACACGCACGCACGCAACACACACACACACACACACACACACATACACACACACACACACGCACACACACACATACACACACACACATACCCACACACGCACACAAACACACATACACACACGCACGCACACACACTCGCGCATGCGCGCACACATACAATCCCAGCAGGCACCCCTCCACTACGAGGGCTCAAGTGGACGTGCCCATCTGCCTCACTTCAAATGGATGTGCCCATCTGCCTCACTTCAAATGGATGTGCCCATCTGCCTCACTTCAAATGGGTTTGGGACGCCTTAAAAGCCCGGCTTCACGGAGCCTGGGGAGGTCCATCTAAGATGGGCGCACCTGGCATGAGGAAAATGTCGTCGTCTATTTTGATGTAGTACTTGGCTTCATAGAGCTTGAAGGCCGTCGTGAAGAACAGCAGACTGTGGGACAGGGATCGGAGATTGTGAGAGCAGATTGCTTTTGAGGTCACCTCGACAGGGATCGGAGATTGTGAGAGCAGGTGGAGACAGGAGTGAGGAGAGGTGTAATTGCTTGTAGCAGGTGGAGAGCAGATGATATTCGAGATTGTTGTTCTACTTTTCTATTACTACTCCACCTCAGGATACTGCATTCTATCAAGCAGCTACTAATGCAACAGATGATAGTAGGCAGCGGCGGAGGTGAACGAAAAGAAACGCTAGGATAAGCGGAGTAGAAAGTGCATTAGGGGAGGCACGGAGAAAGCAGCTGCAGATTCAGCACGTGAAGATGAAGCATGATAGCAGTGATGTGACTTTTGAGTCGACTCAGAAGATGAAGCATGATAACAGCGAGCAACTCACGGTACCATGAAGAGAGCACCTCGCAATGCCATCATGCAATCACCTCACACCACGAGCCGCTTACATCTTGCGGTTTAGATTGAGGTACGACTCTTGCACGTCAACACGAAAGAAGTCCCCGTGAGTGCTGTTCTCCGCCTGCAGCATCTCCTCGTCCTCCACGCTTCCGTGCCCCACTATGAACCGAAACACCAGCCCCGTTGCTGCTTCCACTCTGGAGAATATGTGAGGAAGGAGGACGGGGAGGTGGGAGGGGTGCAGAGAGAGAGAGGGCACAGCTCATACCAACCGGGACACCAGCCCTGTTGCTAGAATACCCTTTAACGGAGAAGAAGGGCAGGGGGAAGGTGCCGACAGGGCACATCACATCCCATCCCATAATAAACCATCGCAACCTGTAACAACACTGTACCGCACTCCACTGCAACACACCGGAATGCTCCGGAATGCACTGGAATGCACCGGACTGCACTCCACCGTACCCGACTGCACCTCTGCACCCGACCATACCGCACCACACCGCTCCCAACCTCAACCCACCGCATGCACCCCAGCGCACCATATTGCACCACGCCACACCCAACCACATCGCACCGCACCCGACCACACTGCACCACAACGCACCCCACCCCAGCCCATCGCATCCCATCCCATCCCATCGCATCCCATCGCATCCCATCGCATCCCATCCCATCCCATCCCATCCCATCCCATCCCATCCCATCCCATCCCATCCCATCCCATCCCATCCCATCCCATCCCATCCCATCGCATCGCATCGCATCGCATCCCATCCCATCCCATCCCATCCCATCCCATCCCATCCCATCCCATCCCATCCCATTTCATCCCATCCCATCCCATCCCATCCCATCCCATCCCATCCCATCCCATCCCATCCCATCCCATCCCATCCCATCCCATCCCATCCCATCCCATCCCATCCCATCCCATCCCACCACATACCACATGCCCCCACTACCACCGGATGATGGCCTACCGCGCGTGCTCCTCGGGCGTGCCGGGGAACCACGTCTCGCGAAGCAGCGCGCGCCTCGTGCCGCTGCGGCCGAAACCGGTCAATACCCCGACGAACCCCGACACACGCTTCCTGCCCGGGTACCGCAACCGATCTGCAATCCTCTCATCCATCTCTGACGATTCAACCATCGGCCCGACCGCCGCTGCGGTCGCTGCGACTACACGCTGTAACTCGGCGGGTTCATTCGTCGCTGTCGCTTCGCTAACCGGCGGCTGTAACTCCGAGGGTGCATTCGTCGCTGTCGCTTCGCCAACCGGCGGCTGTAACTCGGGTTTATTCGTCGCTGTCGCCGCTTCGCCAACCGGCTGTAACTCGGCGACTTCATTCGTCGCTGTCGCTTCTCCAATCAGCTGTAACTCGGCGGGTTCATTCGTCGCTGTCGTCGCTTCGCCAACCGAAAGTAACTCGGCGGGTTCATTCCTCGCTGTCGCTTCGCCAACCGGCTGTAACTCGACGAATCTACTCGTCGCCGTCGCAGAGGTGATCCGTTGTACCACCAGCTGGGATGTAGTCGTCCGATCATACCTAAGAACGAAGACGTCTAAAATGAGGAAGACGAGGACGGCTAGTTGGAGCAGGAAGAGGAACCAGGACACGCGCCATGACGTCAGCAATTGCGCCGGCTCGACGTACGTTTGACCCTCGGAGCCCATCACTAGGTAGAAAAACCTTGAAGGACTTAAGACGTCTCAAATGCCAATGAAGGTTCGCAAAGGCGCCTCAAATGCCAATGAAGGGACCGAGGTTTGTTGCATCGTTCGCGAATAATACTGTCGTAAAGTTCGAGGCGCCTCAAAAAGCATCGGCGCGTAAAGTTGCTGAACGGTCTTATCGCACACGAGTATCGGGACCGATCTTGCAGAGGATGTCTTGCAATGGTAGTAATAGTAATAGTACACTATGGCAGTATCAGAGCCGCCGGTTGAGAATCGTTTGGGAAGAGGGACGAAACTCTCGGTAGCGAGCGAGCAGCCATTAAATGGAGCGCGCGGGTGAACGTCGGGCTTCGCTGGTCCTTCCTGGACTCCTCATGAGTCCTGAGCCATTGGGCCCTTCGGTATCGTATCGACATGGATGGATGCTCGCTGGTCAACTGACCGCGAGCAGAATGAAATCTGAAGTCCTATTGGGGGATGGGATAAAACGTGCCGTGACCGTGTATTCGGTGGATCTCTCCCAAGGCGCGTGCCATCGGAATGGGGGAAGCCGACGGAACGACCGGTGGTTTTGACGACTTGACTAACGGCCCGAGAGACGCCATGATACTGTACTGTGCTAGGTCACTGGGCTAGTTCGCTGATACTTCTGTTGTGACTGGGTCACTTCACTAAGCAGGTTCGCTGTGTGATGAGCCAGCCGAGGGAAAGGAGGGAACAAATGAATGGTGCCCTGCTTGCTGGGCATGGCTGCTGCCACCGTATCTCACCACGCAAAAAAATTTTTTAACCGACTCAGAACGCATCCCACCGCGTTTTTACCTGTGCCGGCCGGCACGATTGTTCGTGCTGTCACTTGCACCACCTCACCCAAATCCCAATGGTGCGGTATAGGTTAACGCGATGATATCTTTGCAGAAAGTAATTTTGTTCGAATACATAGATCAATATAACGATGAATTACCTTAATCACTACAAGACATCAAATGCCTATATTTGTAATAATGGCACCATGAAATAGCCATTCCCAGTATTCATTTCGGCTATCAAGTTAAATTAATCATGTTCTTAGGTTGTGGGCTTCTGCAAACACAAGTCGTGCAACTTTAAATGGGGAGGAAAGCTCATGGACAAGCTGCTTCGTCAATGCACGCATCCTGACCAGCGAAATTTGCACGCCTTTCTGCCTGAACAAGTGCAATCTCATGTCAGGTACTACGTTATGTTGTTTCTTCCATGCTCTGAATCATGCGCCTGCATCTACGTCTGGGTCGGGCCGGTGAGAGCTGAAATTTCTGCACGCAGGGAGTGGACGATTTCTGCTGTGCTGGAAGTCGCTGCTGCCACCGCAACCCACCACGCCTTCACCTGCGGCGTGGCTGTCCCTGTAACTGTGACTGGGCCGGGGCAGTCAGTGCTGAGATCTCGGAGCGGAGAGACTGAATGCTTTCCTCCGTGCTGGCAGTCGCTGCTGCCACCGCACCCCACCACGCCTTCACCTGCGGCGTGGCTGTGCCGGCTGTCACAGTGGCTGCCTCATGAAGAGATGGTGCTGTTGCCTGCACCACCTGCAGCCCTGCCAGGATCTGTGTGTCCGTGTGTGTGTGTATTGGGGAAAGAAGGGGAAGGAGGGGAAGGAGAATGGGTGTTTTGCGTATGGGTGTGCGTGTGGGGTGTGGGTGTGCGTGGGTGGAGTGGGTGTTGGGGGGGGGGGGGGAGGGGAGGGTGCATGGGTGTGGGTGTGTGGGTGTGTGGGTGGGAGTGTGGGTGTATGTATGTGTGTGGGAGTGAGTGGGTATGAGGGACGAGGGCGAGAAGGAGGTTGATGAGAATTCAGTCTATCAGCTGTGATGGGGCCAGGATGTGCGGAAGAATGCAGGATGACTTGGGGAATTCTCAGAATCAACCTGCATATGAATGGCGCAGGCAGCCAGGCCAACCCACACGATCACCACGGAGTGAGTGAGTGAGTGTGGGGGTGAGTGAGTGAGAAGAGAGCGGAGTGAGTGAGCAAGTGAATGAGCGAATGAGCGAATGAGCGAATGAGCGAATGAGTGAGGGAGTGAGTGAGGGGGTCACTGGGGGGTTAACCTTGAGAAGAGCGGAGTGCTGTGAGTGCACAGCGGAGGCTCGAGGGCCGATCTTGATGGGGCGAGGAGGGGGGTTGCGCTGCATCCAGGGGAGTAGGTCCTGAGAGGGAGGGGAAGGAGGGGAGGGGGGGTGGCACAGGGGGGTGGGGAAGCGGAGGGCACACGAGAGCCTGACAGTGGGTCAAGGACCTGCGGAAATGAAGGGGGCATGGGTCGCTTTTGAGAATTCTCAAACGGGTGTCATGGGAGGCATAGGGGCCAAGAGTAGCAGAAGAAGAGATGGGATGGGAGGGGCTGTGACAGCGCGTCTTACATGAGGGAAAGGCAGTGTAAGGAAAACGAGGGTCCGGAGCGCAGCACTGGACGAACGGTGAGCAAGAGTTCGGAGCTAATTTCAGAACCATTACCCGCTTGCACTAAAAACTCCACAGACATCTAAGATGGCCCGCAAGTGCGAGCTAGGTAGTCTGGTATGGTTATGTGAGTCTGTCTGTGATTATCTGCTCCACACACTAACCCAGGACGACCATACCCAATTACTGAGGCGCCTAAAGAAAACCGCAGGTGTGTGAGGCAGGTGTGTGAGGTAGTTTTGTTACAATATTCTAAGTGGATTCACTCCACACACCAATCCAGGACGCCTAACAAATCCGCAGGTGTGAGGTAGTTTTGCTAAAGGATGACCATGCAAAATTCCATTGCCATTCGATTCGCTCCACACACCAATCAAGGATGACCAAGCCACTTAACCTGCCCACTTGATTTGCAATCTTGGCAGAGTGCCAGGAGAGTGCTAGAGCTGGACTGACACCCTTGGAGCTATCCACTCACCCTGTCCACTTTATAAGCGACCTCGTTAGCAAGAGAGAGGTAGCGCTGCACAGCAGCGGTCAGATTGGCGTCAGCAGCTGCTGTGTGCTGCTGGCTCTGGTCGCGCAGAGGGTCCACCACACACTGATGGGGGGAGAGGGAAGAAGGAGAGGGGAGGTGGAGGGGGGAGGAGGAAGGAAGCAAGGCAATCTCGTCAGCAGCTGCTGTGTGCTGCTTGCTCTGGTCGCGCAGAGGGCCCACCATGCACTGATGGGGGAAGAAGGGAGGGGGAGGGGGAGGAGGAAGGGAAGGCAGAAAGGAAACCTTGTCAGCAGCTGCAGTGTGCTGCCTGCTCTGGTCGCGCAGAGGGCCCACCATGCACTGATGGAGGGGGGGGGGAGGGAGGGTGAGGAGGAGTAAGGAAAGGTAGCAAGGCAGCAAGTCAGCAAGACAGCAAGGCAGCAAGGAAATCTCGTCAGCAGCTACCGTGGGGTGGCGGCCCTGGTCATGCAGAGGGTCCACGATGCAGTGATGAGGCTGTGGGGAAGGCAAACATGATATGTGAAGGTTTTAAGCTTCAAGACAGCAACCTGATGGGAAGACGAGGTGACAGAACAATCTCGGGGTACCAAAGCTTTGGTGATTTGAGTCGAATGGATGGAGAATCGAGAATCCATGAGTGGACCCGTTCTTAAGGCGAATCCAATTGAATGGACAGACGGGCGGTCCTAGTGAGATGCTCCGCTGCTTTCTTCCACGTTTATCTCAGTATTGGTGAGATGCTGGGAACCAGTATTGGTGGATATAATCCGAATAAAGTCAAAAGCCAAGGCAGCCTCCTCAGGCCCACCTGGGCGGCCAGGCCAGCAGAATGGTCTTGTCCCATGATCCATCTGATACCCCCTATTCTGTGCTTTGAATACGAGTAGTCATATGTAATCTTAATGAAGGCCAATAGCCAATCGCCATGTCATCTTCCCACCACCTGGGCTGCAAGCACGATGGCCTGGTCATGCCCCACTCCATTTCCCATTCTTACACGTATGCTGTTTGATAAATCGTAACCCTTTTAGTTGCAGGCAGCAGCCATGCCACCTGCCTACAGCCCACCTGCGCGGCCGGCCGGCAGCAGTATGGTGCTGTCGTGGATCTGTTGCTTGCATGCATTCTTGGACACACTCCCGTTACAACTCAAAGTATCTGCTGCTTCCTCTCCCGCGCCTCACCTGAGCGGCCAGACAGCAGGATGGTTTCGTTGTGGAATCTTGGATCTGCTGCTGCATGCCTTGCCCACGATTTGCCAGATACAATCGTGAAATCACAAGGCAACAGCCCTGCCTGCCTCCTCGCCTCACCTGCGCAGCCAGCAGGATGGTGTCATCATGGATCTGCTGCTTCCTCTCCCTCACTTGACCACGTGTTGTTGGGTGGAATGTCATCACAAGGCAACAGCCCTGCCTGCCACCTTTCCACCCAACGCCACCCTCCCGTGTCTAACCTGAGCGGCCAGCAGGATGGTGTCATCGTGGATCTGCTGCTTCCTCTCCCGCAGCTCCACCAGCCGCTGCCGCGCCTCCTCTATGCCGCTCATGTTGGCCCTGTTGTCCCTGCGCCTGCTGGGTGGCATCGGGGAAGCAGGGGGGAATGGGGGAAGCGGGGGGGTTGCATTTAGCCTCAAAAGCAGCTCCACCAGCCGCTGCCGCGCCTCCTCTATGCAGTTCATATTGGCCCTGTTGTCCCTGCGCCTGCTGGGTGGCATGGGGGAAGCAGGGGGGTTTGCATTGCATTTCTCAGTCAGCTCATATATCCCCCGCAGCTCCATCGGCCGCTGCCCCACCTCCTCTATGCCTTCCCCCCTGCTGTCGCTGTGCACCATGGGGGGGGGCTTATAAAGGCAGCATAGGGGAAGGAGGGTGTGCATTCTTTATGCGCCTCAAAAGCAGCTCCACCAGGCGCTGCCCCGCCTCCTCTATGCCGCTCATGTTGACCCTCTTGTCCCTGCGCCTGCTGGGCGGCATGGGCCCATGGGGGAAGCAGGGGAGTTTGCATCTTCTCAGTCAGCTCATCTCTATGCTGCCCCCCCCCCCCCTGCTGCCGCTGTGCATCATGGGGGGGGGGCAGAGGGGTTTGTTTCAGCGGCGACATAGGGGAAGGAGGGGTGTGCATTCTTTATGCGCCTCAAAAGCAGCTCCACCAGCCGCTGCCCCGCCTCCTCTATGCCATCCCCCCTGCTGTCCCCGCTGCTGCTGCTGCTGCTGCAGCTGGCGGCATGGGGAAAGCAGGAGGTGCGGGAGGGACGCACAGCAGGCCTTGAGTTGCTTGAGCGAAGAGAGTAAGGGGGAGTGGGAAGGGAGAAAAGTGAAGAGCAGAGATAAAAGAGTGCAGATACAGATGGAAGAATAGGCATGCATACACTTCAGCCGCTAATAGCATACGGTAACTCTCTCAGACGTCTTGGGAACAGAGCATACCTCTCAGCTCTCACCACCTCTCACCACCTCTCACCACCTCTCACCTCTCACCACCGACTCGCACCTGGCAGCAGCATCAGCTTTGGCGCGGGTGAGCAAGTCGGGCGAGAAGAGGGGCGGGAAGGACGAGGGTTGCAGCAAAGCAGCTGCTGACGGTGGTGCATACGAGCCCAATGCGAGCTGGTCCTCTGGCCTGGGATGGGAGAAGGGAGATGGGAAGGGTTGAGGGAATGGGAGACGGAAGACGGAAGAGCACGGGCAGCAGCAATGCAGCTGCTGATGGCGGTGCATATGAGGCCAATGCGAGCTGGTCCTCTGACCTGGGAATGGGGGATGGGGAATGTGAAATGGGTAGGGTTGAGGGAATGGAAGATGGGAATTGGAGGAGTATCGGGTGTAGTGTCGCAGGGAAGCTGCTGGGGGCGGTGCATTGCATACGAGCCCAATGCGAGCTGGTCCTCTGGTTTGAGAGGGGATGGGGGAGATGTTGTAATGGAGGGGCATGGAGGAGCTGGAGGAGCATGGAGGAGCATGGAGGAGCGCATGGGAATAATACAGCAGCAGCCGCTGATGGCGGCGTTTAAGAGTCCAAAAACAGCTGATCCACCGGCCATGCAGGGTTGTACGTGGGGGATGAGGAGACGAGACTGGGGTGTGTGGAATGGAGCATGGGAGTGAGAATGTGGAATGGGGAATGGGAAAGGGAAAGGGAGTGCACGCGGGCAGAGGCAGCCACTGGTGATGGCATGCGTTGTATGCGTCCAGAGAGAACAGAAGAATCGCCCTGATGATACCAATGGGGATTGTTTATGTGGCGCTTGCCACACCCAATGCACCAGGACAAACCTGCTCCGTACCCTCGCCCACAGTCATACCTGCTCCTTAGCCTCCCCATATCCATACCTGCTCCTTAGCCTCCCCATGTCCTCCACCCGGCGAGCCACTTCCAGCAGCCATGTGGCTCGCTCTGGCACCCCGCCCACTCCCTGGGGACCACATGGGGAGGGAGTTGCATAAGGAGGGTGCATGGATATGGAGCAGGAGAGCATAACACATTGAGCATGCTGTGGGGGGGTGGACGGATGGGGCATGCATGGTGCAAAGGGCATCGGGCACGAATCACAATGTGACGCATGGTGTGTGGTCCCTATTGCATGGAGTTATCTAGTTTTGAGACGTCTCAAGTCACGATGTGACGCATGGTGTGTGGTGTGGTCTCTATTGCATGGGGTTACGGCGCCACACAAGCATGCAATATGAGTGAATTTTTGAGACGTCTAAAAACATCACTCATATCACGTCCCTACTGCATAAGGTTACGGCGCCACACAAGAATGCCGGGGGAGCCCAACTGCAGACTCGTCTCATCCTACTGTGCTGGCGTCCACCTCATCACACATGTGCTATGCGGCAGGCAGTAGGGGAAGCAGCAAGGGCGAGAGAGCAGAACGAACGAACGAACGAGGGGGAAACGGCCATGCCAAGAGATCTCAGCGACTCATCTCAGGCCAATCTCATTAGTATCAGCGACTAAACTTCAAGCAGCCGAACGAACTCACGGTAGCAGCGTCCCGCCCATCGCCTTGAGCCATGCCCAGCACGTTGACTTTTGAGTCGATTCAAAAGTCAACTCTTTTGAGTCGACTCAAATTTCAGTATCAAACTTAGAGCAGCCGAACGAACTCACGGTAGCAGCGTCCCGCCCATCGCCTTGAGCCATGCCCAACAGCACTGCCGTGTGACACACGCCTGATGGGGATGGGGATGTGCATGAAGTTGGGAGGGAGGGGTGGGTGGCAGGGATGGGAATGTGCCAGACAGATGGGTGGGCGGGTGGGAGCATGCTGGGTGTGATGCGATGGCGACCAGACAGCGGCTGCGATGACAAGGCTGATGGGTGGGATGCATGCACTGAAGGCGAAAGGACGAGAAGAGAGAAGCGGATGTACTTTAAAGAAGAGAAAAAGCGGGTTTACGTGACAGGAAAACGCGAAGGGATAGAGTGCAGCAGGAGCAGACGGATGAGTGGGATTCACATCCCCCATCCCACGGAGCAAGGAAAGAGTAGATTCGACCCAGATCACATCCCCCAATCCCACGGAGCAAGGAAAGAGTAGATTCGACCCAGATCACATCCCCCATCCCACGGAGCAAGGAAAGAGTAGATTCGACCCAGATCACATCCCCCAATCCCACGGAGCAAGGAAAGAGTAGATTCGACCCAGATCACATCCCCCAATCCCACGGAGCAAGGAAAGAGTAGATTCGACCCAGATCACATCCCCCAATCCCATGGAGCAAGGAAAGAGTAGATTCGACCCAGATCACATCCCCCAATCCCACGGAGCAAGGAAAGAGTAGATTCGACCCAGATCACATCCCCCAATCCCACGGAGCAAGGAAAGAGTAGATTCGACCCAGATCACATCCCCCAATCCCACGGAGCAAGGAAAGAGTAGATTCGACCCAGATCACATCTCCCAATCCCACGGAGCAAGGAAAGAGTAGATTCGACCCAGATCACATCCCCCAATCCCACGGAGCAAGGAAAGAGTAGATTCGACCCAGATCACATCCCCCAATCCCACGGAGCAAGGAAAGAGTAGATTCGACCCAGATCACATCCCCCAATCCCACGGAGCAAGGAAAGAGTAGATTCGACCCAGATCACATCCCCCAATCCCACGGAGCAAGGAAAGAGTAGATTCGACCCAGATCACATCCCCCAATCCCACGGAGCAAGGAAAGAGTAGATTCGACCCAGATCACATCTCCCAATCCCACGGAGCAAGGAAAGAGTAGATTCGACCCAGATCACATCCCCCAATCCCACGGAGCAAGGAAAGAGTAGATTCGACCCAGATCACATCCCCCAATCCCACGGAGCAAGGAAAGAGTAGATTCGACCCAGATCACATCCCCCAATCCCACGGAGCAAGGAAAGAGTAGATTCGACCCAGATCACATCCCCCAATCCCACGGAGCAAGGAAAGAGTAGATTCGACCCAGATCACATCCCCCAATCCCACGGAGCAAGGAAAGAGTAGATTCGACCCAGATCACATCCCCCAATCCCACGGAGCAAGGAAAGAGTAGATTCGACCCAGATCACATCTCCCAATCCCACGGAGCAAGGAAAGAGTAGATTCGACCCAGATCACATCCCCCAATCCCACGGAGCAAGGAAAGAGTAGATTCGACCCAGATCACATCCCCCAATCCCACGGAGCAAGGAAAGAGTAGATTCGACCCAGATCACATCCCCCAATCCCACGGAGCAAGGAAAGAGTAGATTCGACCCAGATCACATCCCCCAATCCCACGGAGCAAGGAAAGAGTAGATTCGACCCAGATCACATCCCCCAATCCAACGGAGCAAGGAAAGAGTAGATTCGACCCAGATCACATCCCCCAATCCCACGGAGCAAGGAAAGAGTAGATTCGACCCAGATCACATCTCCCAATCCCACGGAGCAAGTAATCAAACACACTGTTTCGCCTCTTCAGTCCTTGTCATTCAGTAAAACAGGGAGAGCGCTCGCTTGCAAGGGGCATGGCTTACGGCTCTCCACGGTGTCAATCATTTCAGCCGTTGCCCGGGTGTGCACACAAACAGAGGCACACACACACATGCACACACACGCACAGAGGCACACACAGTTGCTAGTGAGTGGCATGGCATGGCATGGCTTACGGCTCTCCACTGTGTCAATCATTTCAGCCGTTGCCCGGGTGTGCACACAAACAGAGGCACACACACACATGCACACACACGCACAGAGGCACACACAGTTGCTAGTGAGTGGCATGGCATGGCATGGCTTACGGCTCTCCACTGTGTCAATCATTTCAGCCGTTGCCCAGGTGTGCACACAAACAGAGGCACACACACACATGCACACACACGCACAGAGGCACACACAGTTGCTAGTGAGTGGCATGCCATGGCATGGCTTACGGCTCTCCACGGAGTCAATCATTTCAGCCGGCGCTGCACCCCTGTCTCGATTCGTGTGCATGGAGCCTAGAATCCTGTTGCCCACATGCACACACACACACGCACACACACAGCACGCACACACACATGCACGCACACACACACACATGCACGCACACACACGCACACACAGGCACACACAGGCACGGGCAGGAAGAAGATTTTGGGCTTCACCACCTTCGCCTCGATTTATGTACACAGGGACCGGACCAGTATCTTGTTGCCCCTCACACACACGTGGAGGCACGGGCAGCAAGAAAACTTATACACGGGTTTGAGGTAGCATATGCATACATACATGCCTGTTGTATATTTAAGCTGTGGTTGACACGTGGCTGCAGATAGGGTGCGAAGTGACTGGAACATAGCTTTGGAAAGTCGCATGCAGTTTTGATTTTAGTCCGTCCCTGGTGCAAGTGTTACTGAATGGTACAGGTGCTATCTGATGCAGGGGCTACCTGGTGTGATCGCTATCTGGTGCAGGTGCTGCCTGGTGCAGGTGCTACCTGGTGCAGGTGCTATCTGGTGAAATGTGCTATCTGGTGCAATGTGCTATCTGGTGCAATGTGCTATCTGGTGCAATGTGCTATCTGGTGCAATGTGCTATCTGGTGCAATGTGCTATCTGGTGCAGGTTCTGTGCGGGTGCTACTTGGTGAAGGCCCAGTCGAGGAAGTGCAGGCGTTGTTCCGTGTGGTTTAGGAGCAGGTCAACCTCCTCCTGGGATACAGTGCAGTGTAAAAAGGACGCGCGTTAGATGGATTAATCTGCTTGTGGTGTACTAACGATTGCGCGTAAGGATGAGAGTCTTTGTACGGCGTAGTATGTTACCCCGCAAGTTTGCTCTACGATGCAGTATGACGAAACGACTTTTGAGGCGACTCAGAAGCATGCTACCGCGCAAGTGTGCTCTATGATCGGGTACGATGAAACCCGACGGGGACCGGGATTCGGGAAGCAAAACGGAGGGAGTGAACGCGACATACAAGAGATCGAGCGTTCGCGCCGGCCAAGGAGTAACCGACGTCCTCCAGTCTCGTCGCGACAGCCGTCGCCAAGTCCATGGCTGCGCTTCGGTGCTGCAAAACCCCGTGTGCGAAATCCCGTGGCCACGGAGAGCGCTTCAACGGAACTGACAACTGCGTTCCAAGATCGCCTCAAAAGACGAGCGGATCGCGTGAAGTGAAACACAGCGCACAAGAAAACAGGAATGCAAAGAATTCCTGGAACAAAGTGGTCGTTTGCATGAAGGAAGTGGTACGGGCGTGCCTACCGGCGGGCCGCGCTGCTGCTAGCGGATTTCTGCTGCTACGGGCAGAGCGCGCTGCTGCTAGGACGAACCTCTGCTGCTACGGGCAGATCGTGCCTGCTGCTAGCGGATTTAACGAGAGTCGCCCTGCTGCTAGGATCGCGCTGCTGCTAGGACGAATCGCTGTTGTGCTGTTTGGACGAATCGCTGATGCTAGGACGAATCGCTGGTGAGCTGCTAGGACGAAAGAGTCATCTTCAACTCACTGGCACGATTTGTCAGCAATATTTTTATCACAGCGACAAGACCGACGAGCTTTGCGAAAGATGCCTTACACTGTAACCTGACGAAAGCCCGTTTCTGCGCTCCCTGGAAGGAGGTGATCGTTCGCACGAATGACTTCGTTTACCCTCTCATGTTGGTGGAAGGTTTTGCTCTGAAGGAAGGCTGCGGTCGTATTCGTATCGCGCGTCAGAAGAAAACGAGGTTCGGATCGGAATGCACACGGAACACGCCTCAACTCTCCTGAAGTGTGTATATTTACTTCAGGAGGGAATCAATTCTGACACTGTATCGAGGCAGTCTGCAGCAGGGAATCGAATTTATTAGGCCGTTGCAGCGCGTTACTTGACCCGAAGCAATTCGTGTGGCTGAGATTCGTTGTACGACGTGGCGGGAAACTTGGTTGTTCTGACACCATGGGCGACTGCCCCTTTCATCAACTTCTGTGCGACAAGCGTACGACGAGCATTTCGGTTGCGCGACCATCTGTGCATGCGACATCATCGGATTTCACGATGGCGTTGGCCTTCTTCAACCAGCGCCAGGAAGTTGGAAAGGCGTGTTTACAAATGAGGCCAAGAGGCCAGAGTCAATCTCAGGTGCTAAGCCGTGAACTCGTTCCCGAACACTTTCAGCCGAGTACATTACGTTAAAAAAGGCTCAGATTTTTGAAAGTCATATTCAGCTTGATGGCACGATTTGTCAGCTATAATTTTACTACTGGGACAAGATTGACGAGCTTTGCGAAATAAACGTTACTACAATGTAGCCTGATGTAAGGCCGTTCTCTGCAACAAGCCCCCAAATACTGCTGGGAAGGAGCCCTACCCAAGGCCGCCAAGCACCCCCCACCTCAAGACCAAGAATTGGCCGCTGATGGTTCATGTTGCTCTTCAAAGCGCTTCCTGAGACAATTTAGGCGTTCCTGCCTCCGGCGTTGTAGTCTTTGAAGAGCCTTAGGCCACAATATTCCAGTTTGCAGTCAGTTTAGCCTAAGTTAACTCGCAGCACTTCACCTTACCTGGGTCTAACTTTTGGGGGATCATAGCCAAGCTTCCTTGAGCTATCGCCGAAATCATCGATCTAGCTAATAGCCAACTCCAAAGATTATAGTTTCATGGCGGGGTTGTGTAAAGCGGGTACGGAAGGCCGGTCTAGAATCCACAGACTTCCGGATGCGAAATGAAGAGAGAAGCCCGACGAACTCGCACGCCTTTCATCCGAACCCACCATCGGCTCACCTTCGTTCCTGTCTCCTTCACGCCTCGCATGCGAAAAGCCACGCTTAACACACAGTCGAAAGTAGTTCCTCTTCCCCTCGATAAGATGCCTCCTCCCGTCGACCTAGCCTCTCAACCCCGTCCGAGCACCGCAGATGGCGGTCCACGTCCGGGGGGAAATCAGGACTGGTTACCCACAGATGGAGGGGTACGAGGGGGTAACCAGGAGAAGTTACCCGAGAAAAAGGTTACTCCCAGCCTTAGTGTTGCAGATCGAGTTGCTTCTTTCAAGCAATTGGCTGGACACGACAGGAGCTCCTCCCCCAAACCGTCAGGCTCGACACGGTTCGGAACCGGCGCTGCAGGTTCGGCGAGCCCGTTCAGGGCTAGTTCGGCCGAAGCTGGTTCGAGCGACGTTGGTCTGGAAGTGCAGCTCGGGCAGCTGAGAATAAAAAACGCGGACCTGAAGCTGAACGTGGAAAATCTGCAGGCGGAGCTGAAAGCCGCTAAGGAGCAGATCGGGCAGATGACAAAAGAAATTGAGGCGTGGAAAAAGGAGGGAGTTTCGAAAGACAGCGCTGCTGAGATGAAAGCGGAGATTGAAAAGCTCAAGAAGGAATTGGCAGAGAGCAAAGGAGGAGGAAAGGGCGTGGGGGTAGTGGGAGAGCGAGATAAGGAAATGAAGGAAATGGAGGAGAAAATGATGGTGATGGAGGTAGAGGTTGGGAAGTACAAATTCGTGCATGACAGTTTAAAAGAGAGGGTAGAGAGGCTGACCAGGGATAACAAGAAACGAATTGCGTCTGAGAAAGAGGCGCTAGATGCGATTGGGAAGGTGAGGGAGGAGAAGGAGGAGGTGGAGAAGAGACTGAGTGAGGTGGAGGCGGAAAGGGATGAGGCGAGGAGGAAGTGTGAGGAAGCGCAGCAACGGATGGCAGAGGCTGTGAGAGAGAGAGGAGAGGTGGAGGTGAGGAGGGATGAGGATGTAGCTACTGTGCGGAGGGCTATGGAGGAGGAGAAGCGGAAGGTTGAGGAGGGAAGGAGGAAGGCGGAGGAGGAGAGGGATGGAGTGTTGAAGGCGAAGGGTGAGGTGGAAGGGGAGAAGGGGGTGTTGATGGGTAGGTTGGCGGAGGCGGAGAGGGGACGAGAGGATGCGGAGAAGGGGAGACGAGATGCAGAGGAGGAGAGGGGACGGGCTGAAAGGGAAAAGGAACAGGCGTGGAAGGAGAGGGAGGAGGCGGAGGCAGCTCGGAAGGAGGCGGAAGGGGAGAGGGATGAGGCCGTGAGGGCGAAGGAGGAGGCGCAGAGGGAACGAGATGAGGCGACGAGGGCGTGTGAGGCGGCGGAAACGAAGCAAGAGGAGGCGGAGAAGAGAAGAGACGAGGCAGAGAAGTCAAGGGAGGAAGCAGAGACACGGAGGGAGGAGGCCGAGAGAGAGAGAGGGAAGGCGGAAGAGGAGAAGGAGCAAGCGAAGAAGGAGAGGGAAGAGGCGGAGGCAGCACGGGGAGTGGCGGAGAAAGAGAGGGAAGATGCAGTAAAGGGTAAGGAGGAGGCGGAGAGGGAACGAGAAGAGGCGACGAGGGCTTGTGAGGCAGCGGAAACGAAGCAAGAGGAGGCGGAGAAGAGAAGAGACGAGGCAGAGAAGTCAAGGGAGGAAGCAGAGACACGGAGGGAGGAGGCCGAGAGAGAGAGAGGGAAGGCGGAAGAGGAGAAGGAGCAAGCGAAGAAGGAGAGGGAAGAGGCGGAGGCAGCACGGGGAGTGGCGGAGAAAGAGAGGGAAGATGCAGTAAAGGGTAAGGAGGAGGCGGAAAGGGAACGAGAAGAGGCGACGAAGGCACGTGAGGCTGCGGAAGGGAAGCAAGAGGAGGCGGAGAAGAGAAGAGACGAGGCAGAGAGATTAAGGGAGGAAGCAGAGGCACGGAGGGAGGAGGCTGAGAGCGCAAGAGGGAAGGCGGAAGAGGAGAAAGAGAAAGCGAAGAAGGAGAGGGAAGAGGCGGAGGCAGCACGAGGAGAGGCGGAGAGGGAGAGGGATGAAGCTGTAAAGGGTAAGGAGGAGGCAGAGAGGGAGAGGGAGGAGTCAGTAAAAGGCAAGGAGGAGGCGGAGAGGGAGAGGGATGATGCAGTAAAGGGTAAGGAGGAGGCGGAGAGGGAGAGAGATGATGCAGTAAAGGGTAAGGAGGAGGCGGAGAGGGAGAGGGATGATGCAGTAAAGGGTAAGGAGGAGGCGGAGAGGGGGAGGGATGATGCAGTAAAGGGTAAGGAGGAGGCGGAGAGGGAGAGGGATGAAGCCGTAAAGGGTAAGGAGCAGGCAGAGGCGGGGATGGAGGAGTCAGTAAAAGGTAAGGAGGAGGCGGAGGGGGAGAGGGATGAGGCACTAACGGGTAAGGAGGAGGCAGAGAAAGAGAGGGATGATGCAGTAAAGGGTAAGGAGGAGGCGGAGAAAGAGAAGGATGAAGCAGTAAAGGGTAAGGAGGAGGCGGAGAGGGAGAGGGATGAGGCAGTTAGGGTAAAGCAAGAGGCGGAAACTGAGAGAGACGAAGCAGTAAAAGGTAAGGAGGAGGCGGAGAGGGAGAGAGATGAGGCTGTAAAGTGTAAAGAGGAGGCAGAGAGGGAGAGGGATGAGGCTGTAACGGGTAAGGAGGAGGCGGACGCAAAACGGGCAGAGGCCGAAAGCGCTTGTGAAGCGGCTGAGAAGAGGCAAGAGGAGGCAGAAAGAGGGAGGGAGGAGGCAGAGGGTAAAAGGGAAGTTGCGGAAAGGGAGAAGGAGGAAGCGGAGCAGGCACGAGCAGAAGCAGAGGCACGGAGAGACGAGGCTGAGAGGCTTCGTGCAGAGGCTGATGGGAATAGAGCGGATGCAGAGAGGGCGAAAGAGGAGGCTGAGAAGGCGAAGGAGGAAGCGGATAACGCTAGGGAAGAGGCGGAGAGGGAGAGGGAGAAGGCAGAGAAGAGAAGGGAGGAGGCTGAGAAGGCAAGGGAGGAAGAGGAGAAGCTGAGGAAGGGAGCAGAAAGGGCACGCAATGAGGCGGAGAAAGCAAGGGAGGAGGCGGAGAAAGCCAAGAGCGAGGCAGAGTCGAAGCTGGCAGTTGCAGAGACGAGCAGAGTGGCATCCGAGCAGACGTGTGCTCACGCTGAGGAGAGATCAGCTGAGGCTGAGAAGCAGCGAGCAGCAGCTGAACAGGCTTGTTGTGATGCGAGGGCGCTAGCTGAGGAGGCAGAGAGGCGACGGGAAGGTGCTGAAGTGAAGCAGAAGGAAGAGGAAGAGAGGAGGAAGGAGGCAGAGGAGAGGAGGGAAGCTGCTGAGAAAGTAAAGGAGGAGGTGGAGGAGAGGCAACGAGAGGCAGAGAAAGCAAGGGCTGCTGCTGAGGAAGCGCGAGAGGAGAGCGAGAAGGCAAGGGATGAGGCTGATGCGAAGAGGGAAGAAGCCGAAGAGGCAAGGGAGGAGGCGGAGAAGGGAAGGGAGGAGGCAGTAGAGAGGGCAGCAGCGGCGGAGGAGAGGAGTGAGGAGGAGAGGAAGGCGAGGGAAGAAGCTGAGAGGGCGAGAGAGGAGGCTCAAAGGTTGAGGGAAGAGGCGGAAAAGTGTACAGAGGAAGCGATAAAGGCGAGAGAGGATGCAGAGGCACGATGTGAGGAGGCAGAGAGGAAGCAAGTAGAGGCTGAGGTGGGCAAGGAAGAAGCAGTGGAAGCGAGGCAGCAAGCAGAAGTAGCGCGGGAGGAGGCTGAGAGGAAGCAAGCAGAGGCGGAGAGAATGCAGGTGGATGCAGAAACGAAACAGGCAGAGGCAGAGGTGGTGAAGGAATCAGCAGAAGCAGCACGTGCAGAAGCAGAGGTGGGGAGGGCTGAAGCTGACAAGGCAAGAGAGGCAGCTGACAAGGCAAGAGAGGCAGCTGACAAGGCAAGAGAGGCAGCTGACAAGGCAAGAGAGGATGCAGAAGGGAGGCTTAGGGAGGCAGAGAAAAGAGCAGAGGAGGCGGAAGAGAGTGCGAGGGAAGCAGTGGAAAGGGGTAAGCAGGCGGAGGAGAGGGCACGGGAAGCAGAGAGGGCAGAGCTAGAGGCAAGAGAACAAAGTGAGGTGGCGAAGAAGGCAAAGGCGGAAGCAGAGGCTACACGCGAGGCAGCAGAACGAGATAGAGAGGCAGCTGAGAGGGCGAAAGAGGAGGCTGAGAGGGCGAGAGAGGAGGCTGAAAAGGCAAGGAGGGAAGCTGAGCAGGGGAAAGAGGAATCGGAGCAAGCTCGAGCAGCAGCTGAAATGTCGACAAAGGAGGCAGTTGAAGCAAAGGAGGAGGCTGAGAGAGTCAGCGAGGAGGGTGAGAAGGCGAGGAAGGAGGCAGAGAGGGGCAGGCGAGAAGCAGAGAGAGCACAGGCGGAGGCGGAGAGGCAGAGAGATGAGGCGGAGAGGCGAATGGCTGGTGCTGGGATGAGCAAGGATGAGGCGGAGAGGGAGCGGGAGGAGGCGCATAGGAGCAGGGCGGAGGCGGAAAGGAGGATGGAGGAGGCAGAAAGCAGGAGAGAGGAGGCTGAGAAGAGGAGAGATGAGGCGGAGAGAGCAAGGGAGGTTGCTGAGGAGGCGAGAGAAGAGGCTGTGAGAGAGAAGGAAGAGGCTGTGAGAGAGAAGGAAGAGGCTACTCAGGGGATGGCTGAGGCGGAGGAGAGGCGGGTGGAGGCAGAGAGGAGAGAAAGTGAAGCAGAAGAGAGGGAGCGGGAGGCTGAGAAGGCAAAGGAAGAGGCTGAGAAGGCTTGGGAGGATGCAGCTAAAGCTGCGGAAGAGGCTGAGCAGGCAAAGAGAGAGGCGCTTGAAGCTAAGGCAGAGGCCGAGGAGAGGAGGGCGGAGGCAGAGAGGACTCGAGATGCTGCAGAAGCGAAGGCAGCTGAAGTAGAGAAGGCGATGGAAGAGGCTATCTGTGCGAAGGCAGAGGAGGAAGAGAGGAGGTTGGAGGCCGAGAGAGCACGAGATGCTGCAGAGGCGAAGGCAGCTGAACTAGAGAAGGCTGTGGACGAGGCTGTGAGTGCAAAGGCAAAGGAGGAGGAGAGGAGGGTGGAGGCAGAAACAGCACGAGATGCTGCAGAGGCGAAGGTGGAGGGGTTAGAGAGGGCTGTGGCAGAGGCAGAGGCGGCGAGGAAGGTAGCAGAGGAGGAGAGGAGTGAGGCGTTGAGGGGCGAGGAGTGTGCTGTGGAGGAGCGGTATGAGCTGGTGCAGGCTCTTGAACGGGCGGGTGAGGAGAAGGATGAGTTGACAAGGGCTGCTGAAGCAGTGAAAGGGGAGAGGGATGAGCTGGTGCAGGCTCTTGAACGGGCGGGTGAGGAGAAGGATGAGTTGACAAGGGCTGCTGAAGCAGTGAAAGGGGAGAGGGATGAGCTGGTGCAGGCTCTTGAAAGGGCGGGCGAGGAGAGGGATGAGCTGGTGCAGGCTCTGCAGAGGGTGACTGAGGAGAAGGATGAGCTGGAGAGGGCTGTTGCAGCAGCGATAGGGGAGAGGGATGAAGCGGTGAGGGCTGCTGAAGCAGTGAAAGGGGAGAAGGATGGGGCGGTGCAGGTGGTTGAGAGGACGGGTGAGGAGAGGGATGAGATGACGAGGGCTGTTGCAGAGGCTGTTAGGGAGAGGGACGAAGCGGTGAAGGCTGTCGAAGCAGCGAGAGAGGAGAGGGACAGGGCAGTCGAGGCTGTGGGGTTGGCAGTAGAAGAGAGGAACGAAGCAGTGAGGACTCTTGACAGGGTGACAGCGGAGAGGGACAAGGCGATGCTGGTGATTGATGAGGTGGTTAAAGAGAGGGATGAAGCGGAGAAGGCTGTTGCATTAGCCGTTGAAGAAAGGAACGAGGCAGTGAGGATTCTTGACAGGGTGACGGCGGAGAGGGACGAGGCGATGCTCGTGATTGATGAGGCGGTTGGGGCGCTTGGAGGGGCCGTTGGGGCGAGGGAGGCGAGAGGGCTGGTTGGAGAGAGGGTAGCGATCAGGGAGAGAGAGGCGCGAGCGGTGACAGCGGAGAGGAACGAAGCGGAGAGGAACGAAGCGGAGAGGGACGAGGCGATGCTGGTGACTGACGAGGCGGTTGGGGCGCTCGGAGGGGCCATTGGTGCGCGGGAGGCGCGAGGGCTGGTTGGAGAGAGGGTGGCGATTAGGGAGAGAGAGGCGAGAGGGATGGTTGAGGAGAGGGTGGTGAGTGAGGAGAGGGAGGCAATTGGGGCAGGAGGGGATATTGGAGAGAGGGAGGGGATTGGGGAGAGGGAGGCTATTGGGGAGAGGGAGGCTATTGGGGAGAGGGAGGCGATTGGGGAGAGGGAGGCGATTGGGGAGAGGAAGGCGATTGTGGAGGGGGATGTGAGGGAGGTGGTGAATGTGGATGAAGCTGAAGCAGCAGGAGGGGATGGCGAGAAGGTGACGGTTTGTGTGGGGTGTTCAAGTAAGTGTGATGGGTTTGTGGGTGGGAGAGGCGAGGTGGAAGGGAGATGGCAGGAGGCTGTTGCGGTCAAGGGCGATGAGAAGTGGTGGAGAGCGGTGGAGAACGATAGGGAGGAAGCGGAGAGGAGGCGGGAGGAGGCGAAGAGACGACTAGAGGAGCTGAAGGGGATCCTTGATGAGGTGAGAGGAAAGCAGGAGGAGTCTGAGCGGAAACTGGAGGAAGTCGAGAAACAGCTGGTGGACATGGGGAATGAGAAGGCTGCTGCTGAGAGCAGGAGAGAAGAGGCAGAGAGGGAGAGGGTTGAGGCAGAAGGGAGGAGAGTGAGAGCAGAGGAGATGAGGGATGAGGCTGAGAGGAAGTTGGAAGAAGTTGAGAAACAGCTGGTGGACATGGGGAATGAGAAGGCGGAAGCAGAGAGGAGTAGAGAGGAGGCGGAGGCTGAGAGAGAAGAAGCGGAAAGGGCGAAGGTTGAGGCTTTGGCACGGTTGGAAGCGGCTGAGACGGCACGCAAAGCGGTGGAGAATGAGAAGGTTGAGGCAGAAGAGGGGAGAGTGAGAGCAGAGGAGCAGAGGGATGAAGCTGAGAGGAGGAGAGATGATGCTTTGAGGGAGAAGGAGCAGGCAGAGAAGGAAAGGGAGGAGGTGGAGAAAGCAAGGGAGGAAGTGGAGAAAGCATGGAAAGACGAGGGGCTGAGGAGAGCAGAAGCAGAGAAGGCACTAGAAGAGGCACTGGAGGCAGGTTTTGTGGTGGATGGGCGGACGGGGCAGACAGAGAGGAGGATAGAGAAGGCGGAGCAGAGCAGAGAAGAGGCAGAGAAGATGAGAGAAGAGGCAGAGAAGGGAAGAGAGGAAGCAGAGAGGAGGAGAGAGGAGGCAGAGAGGAGGGGAGATGAGGCAGAGAGGAGGGGAGATGAGGCAGAGAGGGCACTAGAAGAGGCGCTAGAGGCAGTAGTGCAGGCAGAGGTTCGAAGGGAAGAGGCGGAGAGGGATAGAGATGAGGCAGAGAGGAGGAGGGAAGAGGCGGAGAGGGATAGAGATGAGGCAGAGAGGAGGAGGGAAGAGGCGGAGAGGGATAGAGATGAGGCAGAGAGGAGGAGGGAAGAGGCGGAGAGGAGAATAGAAGAGGTTGAGGAGGATTTGACTGAGCTGGTGGTGAAGCTTGAGGTAGTAGAGAAGACAAAAGCAGAGGCGGAGGAGGGGATTCAGGAAAAAAATGCATTGACAGGTGAAGATGCAGAAAAGGGGGAAGTGGATGGGGGGATTACAGAGGGGGAGAGGGAGAGGGAGCGGGTGGTACGGGAGGTGGAAGAGTTGACAGTGCAGATAGAGGTACTGGAGAGAGAGAAGGAGGAGGGTGAACGGGAGAAGGAGAGAGCTGAGAAGGAGAAGGAAGAGGCATTGAGAGAAAGGGAGGAGGTTGTGAGACGGCTTGAGGAGATGCAAGAGATGCTGGAAGAGGTGAGAAGGGAGGAGGCTTACAGAAGGGAGGAGGCTGAACAAGAGAAGGAGGACGCTTACAGAAGGGCAGAAGATGCTGGAGTACGAGTGAGAGAGGCAGAAGCAGGAAGAGAAGAGGTGGAGAGGAGGAGAGAAGTAGCAGAGGGGGCACTGTCGCTAGCAGAGGTGGTATTGCAGGAGGCGGAGGTGTGGAGAGAAGAGGCGGTGAGGCGTTGGGGAGAAGCAGAGGGGGCAGTGTTGATGGTCGAGGTGGTATTGCAGGAGACAGAGGCGTGGAGAGAGGCGACACAGAGGAAGTTGGCAGAAGGAGAGGGGTTATGGAAAGAAGCTGAGCGTGCGAGAGAGGAGGCAGAGAGGAGGAGAGAAGAAGCAGAGGGGGCACTGTCGCTAGCAGAGGTGGTATTGCAGGAGGCAGAGGTGTGGAGAGAAGAGGCGGTGAGGAGATTAGAAGAGGGAGAGGCGTTGAGGGAGGAGGCTGAGCAGGCGAGAGAGGAGGCTGAGAGGAGGAGGGAAGAAGCAGAGGGGGCTGTGGAGGTAGCAGAGGCAGCGAGAGATGAGATGGAGCGGGCGAAAGAGGAGGCTGAGGCTAGCTGGGAAGAGGCGCTGGTGATGCTGGGAGAGGCTGATAGGGGGCGAGAGGAGGCGGAGAGGAGAAGGGAGGAGGCTGAGAAGAAGATTGTGGAAGCTGAGAGGTTGGGAGAGGTAGCAGAGAGACGAGGAGAGGAGGCAGAGAGACGAGGAGAGGAGGCAGAGAGACGAGGAGAGGAGGTAGAGAGACGAGGAGAGGAGGCAGAAGGTAAGGAACGAAGGGAGGATGCAACGCACAGTTCTGAAGAGAGTGTGGTGATCGTTTCAGAAGCTGATGAGCAACCTGTAGAGGCGAGAGGGGCTGGCGAGGAGAAGGAGGGAGAGATTGGAGGAGAGGAAGCGGGAAGCGATGGTATGGAGGGCGGGGACGGAGCAGAGGCAGTGGAGGGCGCTTTGGAATTAGGGGCACGGGAGGGTAAGCGATGGCGGGGTGGAGGTGGGGAGGATGGGGAGAGCAGTGGAGGGGAGGAGGAGGATAAGGGCTGCAGCCGTGAGGAGAAGGGTCGGGAGAGCAGTGGGGAGGAGGAGCAGGTGAAGGGAGTGATTTGTCACTGCACTCAGAAAGAGGTGCTGCCCGAGGGTGCTGCTGCAGACGTGCCACTCAGAGGGTGGCCGAATCCTGACAGCAGTGGGGGGGAGACAAGTGTGGTTGGCATGAGCTTTCTGGAAAGGGAAAGAGACGAGCTAAGAGTGCGGTGGGAGGCGGCAGAGGAGAGACGGAGGGAGCTGGAAGCGATTGTGAGTAAAACGGGTTTGCAGCTAGAGAGGGTGGGTGGGGTTGAGGAGGTTGAGAGGGCGAGGGGAGAGGCAGAGAGAGGGAGGGAGGAGGCGTTGAAAGAGAGGGACGAGGCGGTGAGAGAAAAGGATGAAGCTGAGAAGGCAAGGCAAGAGGCGGAATTGAGGGTTGAGGAGGCGGAGAAGCAGAGGGATGAGGCGGTGAAAGCGTGGGAGTGTGCGGAGGAGGCAAGGAGAGAGGCGGAGGCAGCAAGGGATGAAGCTCTGGAATCAAGAGAAGGCATTCAGAAGTCGTGGGATGATGCTGAGGAGGCGAGGAGAGGGACGGAGGCAAGGCTTGAAGAGCTTAAGCAGGCTTTGGAGGAGGCTGAAAGGGCAAGGCAAGAGGCTGAGATGGCAAAGCAAGTGGCAGAGGCGGCGAGAGAGGAGGCTGAGGCAACTTGGAAGGAGGCAGTGGAGAAAGCAGAAGAGGCGGAGGAGAGGAGCGAGAAGAGGTGTGAGGAGGAGAGGAAGGTGAGGGACGAAGCTGAGAGGGCGAGGGAGGAAGCTGAAAGAATGAGAGAGGAGGCTGAGAAGGGAAGGGAGGAGGCGGTAGCGAGACAAGCCATGCCGTGCAGTGCGTGCGCTGAAAAAGACGAGGCGATGCAGTCCATTCTCAACGAGCTTGTTGCCGCCCAGGCTGCGTCTGAAGCTGCCATAGCGTCGGCGGCTACCAACGCTGCGGAGGAGGTTCGGGCGGAGCTTCGGATGGCGCAGGAAGGGTGGGAGAAGAGGCTGAGTGAAGTGGAAGGGGAGTTAGAGCGTGTGAAAGGGGAGGGAGAGAAGCTTGAGAAGAGAGTGAAGGAAGCGGAGGGGGAGGGTGTGAGATTGCGAGAGGAGGTGGAGGGAGAGAGGAAGGGGAGGGAGGAGGAGAGAGCTGCCAAGGAGGAAGAGAAGAGAGCAAAGGAAGAGGAGAGGAAGGCGAAGGAGGAGGAGAGGGAGAGACGGGAGCAGGCGGAGGCAGGGAGGAGGGCAGCGGAGGAGGAGGCGCAGTTGACTAGGGAGGACCTGGAGGTGATGCGAGACGCAAAGAGGGAGACGGTGCGGAACCTCACAGACTCACTGCTGGCAGCGGAGGAGCAGAGGAAGCGACTGCTGTTCCTGCTGCGCAAGGCACAGGTCATCGAAGGTGAGCCATTGGTGTGAGTGTGTGTAGGGTTTTTTGTTACAATAAAAGCAACCCGCAGCGAAGAGGGAGACGGTGCGGAACCTCGCAGACTCATTGCTGGCCGCGGAGGAGCAAAGGAAGCGACTGCTGTTCCTGCTGTGCAAGGCACAGGTCATCGAAGGAGAGAATTTGGGATAGATAGATTGCAAGTGGGGGTTGCTTGCGAATAGTTTGCCAGTTGAGGTATGGTAATGAAGCTGGTTGTCCGGTCAGTGAGTGAGCATGTTTTGAGGCACCTCAAAAGTCGTCTGTGTTTTGAGGCGCCTCAAAAGGTATGGAGATGAAGCAAGTGAAGGGCTGGTTGTCCGGTCAGTGAGTGAGCATGTTGCAAGCAATAATTATTTTGCTCCTTTTGTGTTGCCTTGTGCCCTCCATGCAGGTCTCTAGCACCCAGACATATGTACAGGAATGACATAGATCATCCTTATATTGTCTCCGAGGAGATTGTTTTGCAAGCATTGCTGGATAGTGGTCGTAGAAACTCTGTTGACACTGGTTTATAGTAATAATGAATTCCGTGTTAGTGTATACAACCTTTTTCTGTACAATTTGAACGTTATTCAGAGGTTTGGTGATGCTTCTGATTGTTTATTTGGGGACTTTGCAACGCAATTTGTTTTTTTATCGAAGGCTTTGAACACGAGACACGTTTTTTGTTCATTTAGGGAGTTCTCTAGTTACCTTTCTAGAGTTTTCAGGACAGTATTCAAATCGCATTCTTGGTACATAACGCGTGTTAAGTGACACAAAAAAATCGGACGTGAATTCTCTGCACCACGGGAAACCCTATTGATTCAGCACCGCAGTAGACTAATCAGGTGTGCAGGAATCATCGCAAGCATGGTGGAGCGCGCAGCGTACCAGCGGTCGCGCAACGCGTCGCAACAGCGGCGGACATCGCAGCAGCAGCAGCAGCAACAGCAAGGCCAGTCGCACAGCCAGGTCGCACAGCCGTCGCAACAGCCGCAGTCGCAGCAACAAGAGCAGGCGCAGGGGCACAATGTGAACACCGCGGCTCAGCCGCCAAGCGCGCAGGCGCAGGCGCAGCCCGCGCAGCAAAGGACTCATCAGCGCGCGCTTCCCCCACAGCAGCGGCAACCAGCGCAGCAGAAGCGGCAGCAGTTGCGCCAGACCGCGGCGCAACGGCGCACGTCGCTAGTGCAGGCCGCGCGGCAAACTGGAGGGGATGCGGGGAAGGCGGAACATGGCCAGGGGGATCCGGGGAAGCCGCCGCAGGGTCAGGGGGGGCATGGGAAGGCGCAACTGGCCGGGGGAGCAAACCCGCCAGCGCACGCCCCGCTTCCGCCTCTTCCGCGGAAGCAGCAAACGCGGGTGCAAGCGCAGGTGGCGCAGCAGGGGGAAGCGCAGGCGGAAAAGCAGGCGGGGCAGCAGGGTGGACAGCAAGGGGGGAGGCAGTATAGGGGGCAGCAAGGGGGGCAAGCGCATAGGTTACAACAAGAATCATCACAGCCGCAACCAGAACAGCACCAGCAGCAGCACCAGCAGCAGCACCAGCAGCAGCAGCATAATTCCTCCGGGCAGGATGCCACTCACGGGCAGGCGTCCGGGCAGACGAAAGGGCACCCTCAACCAGACAGGCAGGAGCCGGGGGGGCAACCCCAAGCCCACGGGCAGGGAAGCGGGCAGACTTCCGGGCAGGTTTCGGAGCAGCTGCCAATGCACGAAGGCCACGTGGAGCATGCTATTCTGCCTGAGCGGCCGGATTGGCTGGATGATTACGAGATAGTGGGGAAGATCGGCGAGGGGACGTATGGGCTGGTGTATCTGGCTAAGGACCGGCGCAAGGGCAAGGGGTCGGGGCGGTCGGCTCTTAAGAAGTTCAAACAGACCAAGGAGGGCGATGGCGTGTCTCCCACTGCCATCCGCGAGATCATGGTGAGAGGGGAAAAAGAAGAAGGCGAGGGGTAGGGGGAGGGGAGAAAGAGGGGATCAAGGGAGGGGGAGGGCAAGGGGGAGGGAGAGAGGGAGAGGGTGAGGGCAAGGGGTTGGGGAGGTGGGCTGGGGTGAAGAAGGCAACGTGCAACGTCCACATCCGCTACCACACATGCCATTCGATGCCACCCTGTTGCTCCCTTGCGTTCTCGTTCTCGTTCTCTTTTCCTGCCGGACTCTTCCTTCCTCCACCAGCTACAACAAGAGTGCGAGCACGAGAACACAGTGCACAGCTGCTGAACACAATGAGTGATCACACAAGCCACCCTCTTTCTGTCTTGCTGTCTTGCTCGCTTGTTCTGCCCCCTCACCAGCTACTACAGGAGTGTGAGCACGAGAACATAGTGCAGCTGCTCAACGTGCACATCAACCACAACGACATGTCGCTCTTCCTCGCCTTCGATTATGCCGAACACGACCTTTATGTGAGTGTGTGAGCCCACCTACTATTCAGTGCAGCACATCATTCACGTGCCATCACCCCATGCCATCACCCCATGCCATCAACCACAACGACATGTCGCTCTTCCTCGCCTTCGACTACGCCGAGCACGACCTTTATGTGAGTAAACCCTTACTTAGCCACCCATCCTTGGTGGTAGAAACTAACCATGCTTGAAGTAGGGGTGGAGGTGGAGGTGAGTCAGTATGTCTGACCACAACGACATGTCGCTCTTCCTCGCCTTTGACTATGCCGAGCACGACCTCTATGTGAGCACGACCTCTATGTGAGCACGACCTTTATAAGGTTAAGCATGCTGGGTATTCGTGCGTGTGCACCTTGTGCACAATCCCTGCACACACCGTCCGCTTCCTCCGCGAGCATCTGAAGCGCACTCCCTCTGTGAATCCTAACCGATTCAGTGGCATCTTCACATGCCATTTCCCCATACCCCCCCCCCCCCTCCCCCCCCCCCCACCCCCCCCACGCCGTCTCCATACGCCTTGCCATGCGTGCGCGCCGCAGGAAATTATCCGTTTCCACCGCGAGCACCTGAAACGCCCTTTCTCTGTTGGTGCTATGATGCGAGGAAATCACACACACACCATATGAGCGGCTCTTGGGCATTCCCCAAAACACCATCCCACCATCCCATCCATACCCATCAGGAGATCATCCGCTTCCACCGCGAGCATCTGAAACGTCCCCTGTCTGAATACACGGTGAAGTCGCTGCTCTGGCAGCTGCTCAACGGGCTGCACTACCTGCACAGGTGGGTAGGAGGGTGGGCAAGGCACTCAATTAGCATCTGAAGCGCCCTCTCTCCGAGTACACTGTCAAGTCGCTGCTCTGGCAGCTGCTCAATGGGCTGCACTACCTACACAGGTGGGCGGGTGGTTGTACCGTGTGTGGAAGGCGGTTTGAGGCATGCACATTTCAAGCACATGTCAAGCTCCTGTCAAGCTCCTGTCAAGCTCCTGTCAAGCTCCTGTCAAGCTCCTGTCAAGCTCCTGTCCCCCTCCATCATAAGGATTGCCGAGCAGGCGTTTCCTATGCAGCTCCCGTCATGCACGCAGGAGTCTCTTGCCCAACCAGCCCTGCACCTGCTTCTGTCCAACTGCATTCACAAGTTGTGATCCTCTCTGCTCTGCTCTCGCGAAAAACGTTGGCCCCCCGTAGCAGCAATCACTTGTTTAATTGGATTCACATCGCCCCGTTCTTTTGTTTTGCGCAGCAATTGGATTATCCATCGGGACCTGAAGCCTTCTAACATCCTTGTAAGCTCTTTCGGTGTGAGGCGGTCTGTGCAGGCACGCACTGTGTTGAAGAAGTGTTTTGAGACGTCTGTTTCAAAACACTTCTTCAAACTTCGGTGTGAGGCGGTCGGTGCAGGCACGCACTGTGTTGAAGAAGTGTTTTGAGACGTCTGTTTCAAAACACTTCTTCAAACTTCGGTGTGAGGCGGTCTGTGCAGGCACGCACTGTGTTGATATCCCGTGGCAGTGCATATTCTGGTGCCACATCCAGTGTTGAGAAGGCTTTAAAGCTGGTGTCTTCTGACTAAGTTTATGTGATTTTCCCATAGATTCTGCCATGTACATGGCAGATACATAGATAAACACATGTGAGGGTGGGTGTGCTCACCTATAAACAAAGATACACACACACACACACACACACACACACACACACACACACACACACACACACACACACACACACACACACACACACACACACTCTCACTCTCACCCACTCTCGCACACCCACCCTGACCACCAGGTGATGGGCGAGGGCGAGGAGCAAGGGGTGATCAAGATCGGCGACTTTGGCCTCGCCCGCATCTTCCAGTCGCCCCTGCGCCCGCTCTCCGACAACGGGGTGAGTTGAGTTGAGCGCAGTGAGTCGAAGACTTCTTGGTCCTTCAATCCAATCTAATCCAATCCAACCCGACCCAATACAATCAGCATGTTGTTTTCTCTGACTGATGGTCGACTTGTTGGCGACTCAGCATAAATTCTCTGCCATTCACTTGTCTCTCCCTGGCCCCTTTCTAGACCTTCAAGTTGCTTCGGTGGCCATTCCCTACTGTGCTTTCTGAGACGCTCACTTTTCACTTGCTTAACCTTCCCCGTGCTTTTTGCTGGGCTTCTGTGTCCATCCTCCGTGCATGTCTGTCCAAGTTGTTGCTACCATCTGCTATTCCTTGCTACATCCCGACACTCCCTGTCCCCCTCTCCTTTTTCCTCACGCCTCTCCCCACTCCCCTTGTGTGCCCAAGTGGTGGAAACCATATGGTATCAAAACCCCTTTGAGTCGTCTCAAAAGGCATGCCTCACCTCACGCCTCTCTTCAATCTGGTGTTTGAGAATTCTAAAAAACCATATGGTATCAAAACCCCTCTGAGTCGTCTCAAAAGGCATGCCTCACCTCACGCCTCTCTTCAATCCCCTTGTGCCCCCCAGGTTGTGGTGACCATCTGGTATCGATCCCCAGAACTGCTGCTAGGCTCACGGCACTACACATGTGCTGTCGGTATGTGTTTTAGCTTTTCTCCCTGTCTTCCACCTTCCCTTGTTGTTCTAAGGCTTTAAGTTCCTGCCTCTCCTCTCCTTCCTTCCACCGCTTCCCACCTGCGTCACCCTGCCTGCTTCACACTCTGCTTGCGTCCTTCTGCCACTCGATTACCCCGTACCATCATCCACCGCAACACCCTGTACGGGAAGGTATGTGGGCGTTAGGGCGAAACCAATATTTCTGCTGCCTTTCATCTGCCCGTGTTTGAACCGCCCGTTATCTACCACCACCACCCTTAACCACCAGACATGTGGGCGGTGGGGTGCATATTTGCGGAGCTCCTCACACTCAAGCCCTTGTTCCAAGGCCTCGAGGATAAGACCTCCGCCAATGCCTTCCAGGTGCGCTGCTCCCCTTACTGCTCCTGCTCCTGCTCCTGCTCCTGCTCCTGCTCCTGCTCCTGCTCCTGCTCCTGCTCCTGCTCCTGCTCCTGCTCCTGCTCCTGCTCCTGCTGCTGATGGTATTTCTTTTCTCTCCATGGTTCGTTCGTACTGCTTGTCTCTGTCACGCTTCGCACCCTTTTCCCTCATCCCTTCCTGCTCATCCGCTGACAAAGCTCGCCCTTTTTCGCTCAACCCACCTCCCTCACCTCGTACTCACATCTTCTTTGCACGGCAGAAGGACCAGCTGGATAAGATCTTCAGAGTGCTAGGTGGGTGCTGGGTGGTGATAGGTGGTGATAGGTGGTGATAGGTGGTGATAGGTGGTGATAGGTGGTGATAGGTGGTGATAGGTGGTGATAGGTGGTGATAGGTTGGTGATAGGTGGCTGGATACAAGGTGCGTGGTTTGTGTACACCTGCGAACATGTCTGTAGCGTATGAAATATTCATCCTTGACTAAAATCGTAGGCAAAGTCACAGGCAGTCGACTCACCACTTACAACCAAGTCAAACCGAAGCACACCCGCAGGCCATCTTAAGGTTCACAAGTTGTCCAACGCTGCTTCTCTACCAAGTGAGGTGCTCACTCTCTGTCACCGCCTTTCACTCCTCTCAACCCCTTCCCACACCTATTCCCACACCTATCAGGCCACCCCACAGTGGACAAGTGGCCAATGCTGCAGTACCTTCCACATTGGCAGGCGAACCGCCAACTCATTCAAGACAAGAAGTAGTGAGTTGTGGTTCGCTCTGCTTGGATTCACAGTAAATGAGCTGTCGCACACCTGGTCTCTCATGCTCTCATCTGCCTCTGCCCGTGTGCCCCTTTTGCCCGTATGCCCGTATGCCCTTATGCCCTTATGCTCGTATGCCGGTTTGCCGTATGTACTTTCACCCTTATGCCCTTATGTCCTCATAACCGTCTTTCTCCTCTGCTCTCACTGCTGTCCTGTTCCTTCCTCCTCTCCCTCCCTTCACTCCTCTTGCAGCCCCAGCAGCCTTACCGCATTCTGCACAGCTGGTCTTCATGCTCTCATGCTCCCATGCTCCCATGCTCTCATGCTCCCATGCTCCCATGCTCCCATGCTCTCATGCTCCCATGCTCCCATGCTCCCATGCTCCCATGCTCTCATGGTCTCATGTGCTCCTCGCCCTTCCCACAGCCCCCAGCCGCAGCCTTACCGCATTCTGCACAGCTGGTCTTCGTGCCTTCATGCCTTCATGCTCCCATGCTCCCATGCTCTCGTGCTCCCACCCATGCTTTCATGTGCCCCCCACCCCCCTCACAGCCCACAGCCAGAGCTCTACCGCATTCTGCACAGCTGGTCGCCCAACTCGCATGCCGTCAACCTGCTGCTGCGCATGCTCGAGTGCGTACCCCATCTCCTCTCTTTTCATGCGCCTCCAACGGCTCAAAACCTACGCTCACAAGTACCATAGCATGATGACTGTTGAATCGGCCCCGCACAGTTCTCCGGGTTCATAAGCCGCGCTCACAAAAAACACATGCCAGTGGATGGTGTTGCAGCACTGTGGATGGTGTTGCAGTACTGTGGATGGTGTTGCAGTACTGTGGATGGTGTTGCAGTACTGTGTCTTAATCATGTTGCCCCGGCATGTGACACGACAAACTATCCTAATAACACGTCGCTCCTCAACTTCTTCCCAAGAAACCATACCGACATAGCTATGAACGTGCTTTTGAGTCGACTCAAAAGTCTCTTCCCAAGAAACCATACCGACATAGCTATGAACGTACGCGCTTGTTGGGCAACTTCGTTCCGTCCCTCCAACTTCGCATCTCATTGCTTCTCGTTGCATCCCGTTGCTTCTCGATGCATGTTTTCCCTGGAAATTCGTGTGTCAACATCCTGTCTCCTCGTGTGCTCCCAGTACAGACGTTGCATCTCTATGTTTTCACAGACCTGTACTTTGCAGGCCACCTGTCCATTGTTGACAAGTCCTCGTGTGTTCCCAGTACAGACGTTGCATCTCTTTGCGCTTGCTTGCCCCTGCCACGCCCTGCCTGCGTTCTTGCAGCTATGACCCCAAGAAGCGGATAACAGCAGGGCAGGCACTCGAGCACGAGTGAGTACCCTTTATTTGGTTTGTTTGCTTTATTTGTCCCAGCTACAGAGAGCCTCAAGCTGGAAAGACCAAACGCACCCACGGCACCCTCGCGCTCAATTGAGTTTGCTCCGTCAGTCATTCTTTTGTCCTTTTCCTCTTCTGACCTCCCTCATTTCCACCACGCTCATATCTTTCTGCGTACCTCTATTATTCCCCCCGCCTCCTCTCTTCTCTCCTCCTTCCTCATGCCTCACTCGACCACCCTCACTTGCCGCACTTGTCTCACTGTCTCTCTTGTTTTAATCGCCTCATTGGTTTCATTTGCCTCGCTTGCTTCACCCCTCTTGCAGGTACTTCCGCATCGACCCGCTTCCCGGCCGCAAGTCAGTACTCTCCTCCCCACGCCCCTCTCCTCCACACGCCCCTCTCCTCCACACGCCCCTCTCCTCCACACGCCCCTTTACTCCACCACACCATTTCTTGCGTTCCTTCACATCACTCCTGCTTGGATGTCCCTTGTTCTCTATTCCCCTCACCCTCTTCCCTCACCCTCTTCCCTCACCCTCTTCCCTCACCCTCTTCCCTCACCCTCTTCCCTCACCCTTCACACCTTCCCCGTTCTCCTCTGCCCCCTTTCCTCCTCTTCCCTCCCCCCAGCTCGTTCTTCTCAGGCCACCACCCCATGGAGCGCCCAGTGGTGTATTTCAAGCGTCCAAGCCCCTGCATTCCCACCCTCCCTGTTTTCCTCTCCACCCCCTCTCCTCCTTCCCCCTCCCCCGATTCCCCCCCAGCTCGTTCTTCTCAGGCCACCCCATGGAGCGCCCAGTGGTATCCCCAAGTGCCTTCCCTTTTCCCACTCACCTCACCCCTTCCTCTTCCCCCTCTCCCTCTCTCACCCTTTCCTCCTCTCCCCTCCCTCAGCTCGTTCGTCTCAGGCCACCCCAGGGAGCGCCCAGTGGTGTACCCAAAGCGCATGCCAGTTCCCTGTGACCCTTACCCTGTCCCCCCTTATCCTTCCCCCCTCTGTCCCCCTCGCTCTCAGCTCGTTCTTCTCAGGCCACCCCATGGAGCGCCCAGTGGTATCCTCAAGTGCCTTCCCTTTTCCCACTCACCTCACCCCTTCCCCTTCCCCCTCTCCCTCTCTCACCCTTTCCTCCTCTCCCCTCCCTCAGCTCGTTCGTCTCAGGCCACCCCAGGGAGCGCCCAGTGGTGTATCCCAAGCGGCTGCCAGTCCCCTGTTCCCCTCACCCTTTTCCCTCGTGTCCTTTCTTCCACCCCTCTCCTTTTCTTCCTCCCCCGCAGCTCCTTCTTCTCAGGCCACCCCATGGTGCGCCCAGTGGTGTACCCCAAGCCCATGCCACTTCCCTCTCAACCCCTCTCAACCCCTGCCAACAGCTCGTTCTTCTCAGGCCACCCCATGGAGCGCCCAGTGGTGTACCCCAAGCGCCCTGTGGACCTCTCAACTGATTTTGAAGGCATCTCCACCCTCTCCTCCGCTGCTGCCTCCTCCCATGTCGCTGCTCTCTCTGCCATGCCTCCACCGCACCAGCAGCATCATCAGCAGCACCAGCATCAGCATCAGCAGCAGCAGCACCATCATCAGCAGCAGCAGCACCATCAGCATCAGCAGCAGCAGCAGCATCAGCAGCAACAGCAGCAACAGCAGCAGCAGCAACACCATCGGCACCATCAGCAGGTGGGTGGGTGTGCATGGGTGTGCATGGGTGCGAGTGTGGGTATGCATGAAGGGATGGGCTCGTTGAAGCCTGGAAGTATGGAGATTGCGTTTTCATGCCACTGTGTCGCCATTCCGCATACCATCATGCCCATACCATCCATGCCCCATACCATCCATGCCCCATACCATACATGCCCCATACCATCATGCCCCATACCATCATGCCCCATACCATTATGCCCCATACCATCATGCCCCATACCATCCATGCCCCATACCATCCATGCCCCATACCATCCATGCCCTGTACCATCTATGCCCCATTCCCCACCTCCCATCCCCCACCCATCCCCCCATACAGCCATCAGCGCCAGGGCAGCGCATGGCCACATTAGTGTGTGTGTTGTCCGTTCCCCACCCCACATTACCCACCCCCCCAATCCCCACCCCTCCCGCCACACCCCATCCCCCACCCCTCTCCCCACAATCCCCCACACCTTCCCCCACCAGCCATCAGCGCCAGGGCAGCGCATGGCCAACGTCACCCTGCTGCACCGCTCAGGGTCAGGAGGAGGGAGCGGGGAGGGGAGCGCAGGTGCCGTGGGCAGTGGCGGGGGGAGCAGGGGTGGGGGGCAGGGGGCAGGGGGGAGTCAGCAGGGGCAGCAGGGGTATCAAGGGCAGCAGCAACAGCACAATCAGCCGCATCACAGCCAGCAGCAGCACAGCCAACAGCAGGTTTCCCAGGGACAGATCCAGCAGCAGCACCATTTTCACCCTCCCTCACAAGTATGGGACCCGTTGAACCCTCTGCATGTGTTCATGTGGACCGTGCATGTTCTATATGTCATGTATGCTATGGATTGTGGATGTGATGCATCAACATGATGCCATCACATTCATCCTCCTTTCCTCCATCCCCATGCTGTCAGGGTTATCATCCTTTCCGCCTTCACCATGCCATAATGTTTATCCTTATCCTCCATTCCCATGCCATCACATTTATCCCAATGCCTTCATGTTTATCCTAATTGCCTACACCCCCCACGGTTAGAACCTACTTAAACACCCATCCCCCAACCTACTTGGTGCTTCAAAACCACCTGCGATATGCAGCCGCGCAGCACGAGGGAGAGGAGCGGTCTGGCGCACGGGCAGCCCGCCACCAAGATTCGACGAACTTAGACGCCAGTCGACACGTGTACATTAACATGTATATAACATTTTGCACATTTCCGGGAATGAAGTTATGTAATCATATAAGCAAGAGTTAAGCACAATTTGAAAAGAGAAGAAGAAAATTTGAACATTCTGACCTTTTTTACTACACAGCAATGTTTTTAGAGGGCTGGATAGCAACCTTAGAAAGAATCTTGCTGGTAGGATAAAGTGACTCAACTCTAATATAGAATGCAGTAGACTGGAAAGAGGTCTATGCTTTCCAACCGAGCTTCATTGGTTCATGTTTTAAACGCGATATTTATTGGGTTCTACATCCTCGCCGCTTCGTCCGCCGCGATTTTGCGAATCGGGTCGAACTAAGTCGCAGATAATAAGTCCAGTCGCGTTGATATGGCAGCCCGCGTTCGTTTCGTCCAGCCACGCTGTTAGTTTGCCATACATAGATAATACTGTTACTCACTCTGGCAGCAGCGATCGAATTTGGAACCTTTGTCCCGCAATTACAGCGACACGTGGCAGCCAGCATATCGAATTTTATGTCGACTGAAAGCGCACCGAGCGAATCGTTGATCAGCATCACGTCGATTACTCGTATTATGGCAATGAGTGCTCTGACACTAATATAGGCGATTTGCGTTACAAGCTTTCGGCTTCGTCTGACGACAAGTTAGCAGGTTCCGATCCGTTTCTCTGCGATGTTTAAGAAGAAGAATTTCCGTCGCAGGCAGGACGACGACGACGATGGCGACGGTGGGGGCGAAGGCGATGCGCGAAACGGCGGGACCGCCGCCGCGAAGCCCGTTGCCTTAAAGACGACCAGTAACAAACCTAAGGCGGCTCCGGCGACGACTAAGGCGACACCGTCGAGCTTGCTTAGCTTCGCAGCCGACGAGGAGGGAGAGGGCGACGATGGCGGGCCGTTCGGCATGGCGATCGCCGTGGGGGGGAGACCAAAACCTAGCTCGAAAGAATCCAAAGCAAAATCCAGATCGGCGGGGTTCGGTACGGGGCATGGGGAGGGGCATAGAGTGAACAGGGATAAGAAGGGCCGGGAGGAGCGGAAAGGGCGTGAGGAGAAGCGGGAGGGCGGGAAGGGCGGCGGCGGGGTGGTGGTGGGGGGACCGTCCGCTGGCGGCGCGCTGAACGTGATGCCGCAATCTGGGGAATACACCAAGGAGAAACTCGCGGAATTGGCGGTATGCACACTCCTCGCCTCCCCCTCCCCCTCTCCTCCCCCCCTCCTCCCCCCCGGTCCAGTGGATTTCTGCATGAGTTGCTGCCTGCCTGCATGCATGAGCCGCCACTGACCCTCAGTTCATTTCTGTCGTCTTATTGGGACAATCGCACATTGCATCTCCTTGCCCCTCCCCCGTCTCCTTCCTCCATCTCCATCCCACTCCTCTCAGTACCCCACTGTGTTCTGGTTGCTCCCTCCACCTTCCCCTTCTCTCCCCCCCTCCACCTTCCCCCCCTTCCCCCCACCACCCCCGCCACCCCCGCCACCCCCGCCACCCCCGCCACCCCTCCCAACAGCGCAACACCATGCGCATTGCAGCGCCTTCGTCCGCCTCCAGGCGCACCCCCCCTCCCCCTTCCGCCTCTATCGCTGCAGCAGGCGCAGCCCTCTCCACCTCCGCGGCCCCCTCCTCCACTGTCACCCCGCCCTCCCTCTCCGAACCTCTCATCGTGCTTCGGGGATCGCTCAAACCCGCAGGCTCAGCAGCCGCCGAAGCAGAGGCCGGAGCTAGCGGTTCCGGTGCATCAGGTTCGGCAGGTGCTGCAGCAGGAATGGGAGGATTGGGAGGTTTGGGAGGAGGCCTAGGAACAAGCTTAAGAAAGGCAGGGGGTAGTTATATTGGCGGTACTTTTATCCCAGACGCTGCTGCTATAGCAGCGGCAAAGGCAAAGAGAGAGAGATTAAGACAGGCCAAAGCAGCACCAGATTTTATCCCCCTTCCAGGGTCTGATAGATCTGATATGGCCGGGCTAGGGAGTATGAGGGGGGTGGAAGACGAGATGGGGGAGGAGGAGGGGGAGAAAGGGAAGGGGGAGCAGTCGAGTGAAGATGAGGAGGAGGCTTTGGGGGGAAGAGTGGCGCTAGGGGGGGTGTTGGGGGGGGATAGGGGGAGTGGGCGGGGGAGGGGAGGGAAGGGGAGGGGAGGGAGTGGAGAGGTGAACGGGGAGCGGAGAGGGCGGGGGATGCGGGAGGAGGAGGATGGAGAGGAGGAGGAGGAGAGGGAGAAAGAGGCAGAGGAGGATGAGGAGGAGAGGAGGTGGGAGGAGGAGCAGTTGCGCAAGGGAGTGGGTCGAATGGTGTCAGTGCCAGGAGCTACAGGGGGGAAGGACGGGGGATTGGGGGCAAAAACTGGGGGGGAGAAAGGGGGCGGTGTGGGGGGAATGGGGGAAGGGGGAGTGGAGGGAGGGCGGAGTGCAAGGGAGGTGTTTTCAGGGGGGATGAGGGCAGGCGCGTGGGGATATGGGGGGGCAGCGGGGGGCGCAGGGGGGATGGGAGGTGCAGGGTCGATAGTAGCGGAAGGGGATGAAGTGATGAAGTTCCTGAGAGAGGGCCTTGCGAGACTGCAGGTGCGTGCTCTTAATGAATGGGCTCTAAACGAATGTGATATAGCCAGCTCGCTATCCGCATTCTACCTATTTCTCCACACCATTCAGCTTCAGCACCACACTTTACATTGCAACGCTTCTCACCATGCTGCACCACACTCTCCACAGCTCCACGCCTTTCAGCACCACTCCCTCCACTGCTCCAGACCGTGCTTCACCGTTTACCACTGCCAATCACCCTACACCACTCTACTCCCACTCCACCCCTTCCCTCCCTCCCTCTCCAGGCCTCACAATCCAAGGCTGAGCGGGAGGCTCGGGAGGCGGAGGATCGGCTGGTGGCGGCGGCAGAGGAGGTGTTGGAGCTGGAGAGGGCGATGAAGGGCGCTGAGAGCAAGTACCGCTTCGTGCAGGACCTCAGGCAATACATCGCCGTGTTGTGCGATTTCCTCAAGGTGAGTTGAGGCTCACTACTGGTCAAGTCACTTCTGGGGGCGCTATACGTGGCTGTGCTGTGTGACTTTCTCAAGGTGAGTCCTGGGCTGGCTTCGTGCATGTGAGGCGGAGGATCGGCTGGTGGCGGCGGCAGAGGGGGTGTTGGAGTTGGAGAGGGCGATGAAGGGCGTTGAGAGCAAGTACTGCTTCGTGCAGGACCTTCGGCAATACGTCGCCGTGCTCTGCGACTTCCTGAAAGTGAGCTGCCTCAGAATAAGCTCTGTGACTTCCTCAAGGCGAAGCTGGCTCCTCCTGGTGGCTTCTGGGGGCGCTGAGAGCAAGTACCGATTCGTGCAGGACCTGCGGCAATACGTGGCCATGCTGTGTGACTTCCTCAAGGTGAGGTTGGTTGGCTCCTTCTGGCTTCTGACAGCTCTGAGAGCAGCTTCGTGCAGGGCATGCCGTAGCACGTCGTTGTGCTTTATGACTTCTGCGATTGTAAGTTTCGATTCGAGGGCACTGTGGGGCAGTAAGGAGTTAAGTAGGTTAGTCCTTGAATGCACTCCCTCGAAAGCCCTCCTCCTCCCCGTCTCCCTTGTCACATCAGGGCTGTCTCGGTCTCGCTTGTCACATCAGGGCAACGCGAGAGGAGTCGCTGCAGCATTAGCTGCCGTAGAGTGGTGATTCACATGTCACGTCCTTAGATATACACACCTCGAGCTGTGTATGGCCCTGACTATTTCACTATCTTTCCTCCCCCCCCTCTCTCATCAGGACAAGGCGGCATTGATAGAGGAGCTTGAAGAGTCGCTGCAGCAGCTGCTTGAATGCGCCACCCTCTTAACTAAGACTCGTCACTCTCTTTTGGAGTGACTTTTGAGAATTCTCAAAAGTCCCTCTTAACTAAGACTCGTCACTCCCTTTTGGAGTGACTTTTGAGAATTCTCAAAAGTCCCTCTTAACTAAGACTCGTCACTCCCTTTTCCCCTTTTCCTGCTGTCTCACATCAGGACAAAGCGGCGCTGATAGAGGAGTTGGAGGAGTCGCTGCAGCAGCTGCAGGAGGAGCGTGCCAACGCAGCATTCAACCGTCGACGCGCTGACCTGGTGGATGAGCTGGCGCAAGCAGAGGCTGCCACGTCAGCGGCAGCAGCAGCGATGGCACAAGGTGCCGGGACGGTGACGGCAGCGGCAGCGGCGGCAGCAGCGGCGGAGGCGGTGGTGGAAGGGGGAGGGGCGGCGGGAGGGCGGGTGGAGTTAGATGAGTTTGGAAGAGACGTGAACCTGCAGAAGCGGTGAGAGCTCTGTGGGAAGTTACGGTTTAGTTTGGAAAGGATGGTGGGTATAAGTTGAGTGTGCTAGTGGTGGAGTATGGATGGAGGAGCTTGTTTCTTCTTTTGTTGCGGGTGAGTTATTGGTCCCCTACACAGTACAGTAACAGCCTAACAAGTTTGATTCGCGGCGGCCACTCCCTCCCTTTCCCCCTGCTGCCGTCCCCGTCCCTCGTCATCCAGCCCCTTGCACGTACCCAAAACTCCTCGTAAACCTTACAACCTGGAGCCCATCCTTACAAACCTCTTAAAACCCCAACTCTGAACCCCGTCCTTCCACGGCGTGTGCAGGTTGGAGCTCCAGAGGCGAGTGGCAGCGCGGGAGCGACGGCACGCCAAGGCTGAGGCCAGGAGGGCTGGGCGGGGCGAAGCAGAAGGGGGGGGAGGAGGTGGAGGAGGTGGTGTGGGGAGGGTGGAGGGGGAGTGGAGCAGTGATGAGAGTGATGATGAGAGGAGTGCGTACAGCTCTGGCAGGCAGGAAATACTCACTGCTGCTGGTGAGCTCCCACTACCTTTCCCCTTTTGAGACATCTCAAAACTGGAGAGTGCAGGAAATACTCACTGCAGCTGGTGAGCAACCTCCCTCCCTTTTCCGCGCATCCTACATGCTTGTTCAGATGCTGTTGCTAGATTGCCCCTGGTCATTCTTATGAGCCTACTTAAGCTACTCTGAGATGTATGTCGCTGCAAACCTGTTTTGTGCGCCGTCGAGTCAAATCAAATCAAATCAACATCATGGGTGTCGAGCAGCATCAGCCTCCTGCTGATGTGTGATTTTTGTTCTTCTGACTGGCAGGCACTGCACCCTGGCTCCCTGGCTCCCTCCCTCTCCCTGCTCCCTTCTTTCTCGCATTCGTTTTCCTCCTCCTCGTTTTCCCCTGCTTTCGCCTATCCCACCCGACCATCTCTCTGCCCTCTCCCTCCACCACTCCTCCCCTCCTCCCCTGCTGCCTCCCCCCCAGATGCGGTGTTTGCGGATGCAGCAGAGGAGTACAGCAGGATAGAGCGAGTGAAGGAGCGCATGGAGCGTTGGAAGCAGCAGCAGCACCCTAAACCCCTTGGTCTGCCAGCAACCGATTCCACGCTCTCCATCCCTCCTCGAACCCTTCTGCTTCCCCCCAAGATGCGGTGTTTGCAGATGCAGCAGAGGAGTACAGCAGGATAGAGCGAGTGAAGGAGGGCATGGAAGCACCACTACCCTAAACCCCTTGACCCACCAGCAAGCAAGCCAATTCCTCCTTCTCCACCCGTCCTCAAACCCCTCCTCAACCCCTGCAGATGCAGTGTTTGCGGATGCAGCAGAGGAGTACAGCAGGATAGAGCGAGTGAAGGAGCGCATGGAGCGGTGGAAGCAGCAGCACCCCTCCGCCTACCGAGACGCCTATGCCAGCATGTCAGCGCCGGCCCTCTTTGCTCCCTTTGTGCGCCTGGAGCTGCTCCGATGGGACCCGTTGTTTGGGGGAGGTGCCTTTGACTCCATGCACTGGTGAGTCAGTGAGTCGGTCAGAGAGTGATTGAACCCGCGTGCTGATTGTTCTCTCTTCGCTGGCCCTCTTTGCTCCGGTGGTGCGCCTGGAGCTGCTCCGATGGGACCCCTTCTTTGGGGGAGGCGCCTTTGACTCCATGCACTGGTGAGTGTGTTACATTGCCAGCTTCTGATAGCCGTTTTTCATATCCTTTTTCCACTACTTTCCTCCAACCGACTGCTGGTTTGATATGCCTCGTAATTAGTTCCACTGTCTCCTCTGCTCCTCCGCCCCACCCACCCCCACCCCCCACCTGATACTCAATCCTCTGTGACTACGGCCTCCCAACCGACGGGTTCAGAACTCAAAACATCTTAGAGCTCACCACCCATCACCCACCACAACCACCCTTCACCTCCCTCCATCCCGCCCAACCAGGTACTCTGTCCTCTTTGACTATGGCCTCCCAACCGACGGCTCCGAGCCTGCCCCGGACGACCCGGACACGAACCTGGTGCCGAGGCTCGTGGAGAAGGTGGGGCTGCCGATCCTGCACCACGCGCTGCAGCACTGCTGGGACCCGCTGGACCGCGCCGCGACCAACCGTGCGGTGACAGCTGTGGAGGAGGTGCTGGTGTATGTGGAGGCGGGGGCTCCCGCAGTGGTGGAGATGGTGAAGGCCGTGGAGGGGCGGATTGAAAATGCCGTTGGGGAAATTCAGGTGAGTTTATGGCCTTTTTTTTTTTTCCGAAAGAGTGGCATGGCAAACGCTGGGAGGGAGGGGTGTGCGTACGAAAGCTGTGGAGGGGTTGCTGGTGTGTGTGTCTTTGAGTGGACAAAAGCACCCTTCTTAAGGAGAAGAACCACATGTGGCCTTGGTGTGGTGTGGAGGAGGTGCTGGTGTATGTGGAGGCGGGGGGCCCTCGCGGTGGTGGAGATGATGACGGCGGTAGAGAGGCAGATTGAGAGTGCTGTTGGAGAGATGCAGGTGAGTTGGTGGCTGAAATGCTTTTGAATGTACGAGTGGCATGGCAAGCTGTGAGTGGGGGAGGGGAGAGGGAGGGGTGTGCGACGACAGCTCCTATGTTTGATGGTGTGTTTTTGAATCGACAGCCCGTTTCAGAAACCACATGTGGCCGTGGTGTGGAGGAGGTGCTGGTGTATGTGGAGGCAGGGGCACCTGCGGTGGTGGAGATGGTGAAGGCCGTGGAGGGGCGGATGGAGGGGGCTGTTGCTGAGATGCAGGTGATGCGGTGGCTGAAATGCTCGTTTTTGTACGAGTGACATGGCAAGCTGTGAGGGAGGGAGAGGGGAGGGAGGTGGGACAGCTGTGGTGGGATTGATGGTGCGTCTCTGAGTCGACAGAAGAACTCTTGTCGAAAACCGCATGTGGCCATGGTGTCGAGGAGGTGCTGTTGTTGAACTTTGAACAACCCCTTTCTTCCCCTCCTTCCGTCCCCTCCTTCCGTCCCCTCCTTCCGTCCCCTCCTTCCGTCCCCTCCTTCCGTCCCCTCCTTCCGTCCCCTCCTTCCGTCCCCTCCTTCCGTCCCCTCCTTCCGTCCCCTCCTTCCGTCCCCTCCTTCCGTCCCCTCCTTCCGTCCCCTCCTTCCGTCCCCTCCTTCCGTCCCCTCCTTCCGTCCCCTCCTTCCGTCCCCTCCTTCCGTCCCCTCCTTCCGTCCCCTCCTTCCGTCCCCTCCTTCCGTCCCCTCCTTCCGTCCCCTCCTTCCGTCCCCTCCTTCCGTCCCCTCCTTCCGTCCCCTTCTTCCGTCCCCTCCTTCCGTCCCCTTCTTCCGTCTTCTACTTCCCTCCTCCCCAACCCCCTTGCCACTGTTCGCGTGGTATTAGCGTGGCCACCGCCCATACTGGCTGAACACCGGCCCGCAAACAGTTGTTCCTTTGAAATTCTAAACACTTCTTTTCTTCCCCTTCTTCCTTCCCCTTCTTCCGTCTTCCTCTTCCCTCCTCCGTATCACCCGCCTCCTCCCCCGTTACTGCTCGCAGCTACCAGCGTGGCCGCCCCCCATACTCGCTGCCTGCCCCTCCGCTGCTCGATTCGCAGCTCAGAGATTCGGGCACGCGCTGCGCCTCATTTACAACCTGGGAAGGTGGGTTCTATTCATACCAAAGTGCGCTCGAATCAAAGGTGGCAGGTCAGGAGATGGTTGCGGAGTGCCCTTGCGTGCATCGACTCGGAGGCACCTCCAGAGATTTGGGCAGGCGCTGCGCCTCATCCGCAACTTGGGCAGGTGTGTTCACTGCCTAACTGCGTGCAATGCAAGACTGGCAGGTACCAGGAAATGGCTGTGGAGGGTAAGAGCGTCTGAAGCACCTCCAGAGGTTGGCGCTGCGCCTCATTCACAACCTGGGCATGTGGGTTCAAGAGCGTTCGATCGAAGTGGGCAGATATCAGGAGATGCTTGAGAGACACTTCAGGAGGAAGCGGCAGAGGAGAATAACATGGTGAATGTGGGGAAAGGGCGAGGGGCGAGAGGGAGAGCATGGTGCCGGCCGCAGGTGCAGTGATGGAGAAGTTGTCGGCCTTCCGTGGTTGGCTCAAGTGATGATTCTGAGGAGCTGTTCTGAGGAACATGGTCCGTCCTCCCGTGGTCGGCATGTTCCTCAGAATCATCACTTGAGCCAACCATGAGAGGCCGGACAACTCCTCCATTATTGCACCCACGGCCAGCACCATGCCCTACTTCTCGCCCCTTGCCCTTTCCCCACACCCACCATGTTCTTCCTATTCCTCTCCTCTGCCGCTTTCCTCTGCAGCACCAGCATCACCTCCACCTGGATCACCTTGTTCTTTTCAAAACCCCTTTGTAGGAGGCATGTGACACTTGTTTTTTCTATCTCTCATCTGCAGCCTCTCTGCACCAGATCTGTAACATGGGGGAATCTCCAGGCAGTGAGACATGGTGTCTCTCAGATGCTTGTGGAGTTTCTGAGAAAGTTTAAGGAACAAGACGTCTCCAAATCTCCCTTTTATCACGTGTCTCTCAGATGCTTGTGGCTACACCGGCTGGACCGACTCGTGCTGTGCTCGATCTTCTCTAACATAGGGGGGATGGGGATGTGACAGACTGTGTGTTCCTGAATTTTGAGGCGCCTCAAATTTCCAAGGAATACACCACCCCAATCCCATCTCCCCCCCTCACCTCCATCCCCACCTCCCCCTCCAACCCTTTCCTTCTCAAAATTCCAAGGAATACACCACCCCAATCCCATCTCCCCTCCTCACCTCCATCCCCACCTCCCCCTCCAACCCTTTCCTTCTCCCCTCCACCTCCACCCCAACTCTCCCATTCACGCCACCAGGATGCGAGACGTGGTGTCTCAGCAGCTCCTAGATCGACTCGTGCTGCAGTCTCTCCTGGCCAATCAGCTGCTGCCACATCTGCGCGCCCTCGCCCCCGCGCTGCACGACGCTGTTCCCCGTACAGAGCGACTCGTTTGTGTGCTGTGTGACGGCAAGTGGGCCGGCACGGGCAGCGGCAGTGCCTTGCCTCCTTCTGCTGAACCCAGGAACAGGTGAGCTGTCTGCTCGAGTTGTACCTTATATAGAGTGATTAGGTTAGGTAAGGCTACTGCACAACACTCGTTTGTGTGTTGTGCATCTGCAAGTTACTGGCAGCAGTATCGCCTTGCCCCCTTTTGCAAAACCCAGGAACAGTAAGCTGGCTGCTCAAGGTAAGGTTACTGCACAGCACAGCACAGCACAGCACTCGCATTGCCCCCTTTTGATAAACCCATTTAGAGTGACACGTTAAGGTTACTGCACAGCACTCGTTTGTGTGCTGTGACGGCAAGTGGGTGAGCACTGGCAGCAGCAGTACCCTCCCTCCCTAAACCAGACCTGAGGTAGAAATGGAAGCACCTACGTGCAGCATGCCAAGCTGGTACCTCTTGTTTTCTCGTATGCTTCTCTGCATTGTGATCTCACTCTGCATGTGAGTGTTGCTGATGCATGTGCATCAATCTTCCCACTAGTTGCATGTGCTCTCACCGAACGCTCTCACTTGTTTCTCATCATCGTTCATGCTTGCGCCTTCTTGTGTTTCAACCAAAAACATTGAACCCGAAAACCCTCACAGTCCTAGGTCTCCTCTATCACAGCTGGTGGCTTATATCGAAACGCTGGGTCGGTCTGTAGAGAGTCGGAGTGCTGTGGAGGGGCAGAGGGAGGAGTGTGTGGGGCTGGCGAGGCGGCTGAAGCGCATGTTGGTGCAGATGGAGGAAATGGATAAGGCCAGGGCGCTTGGCAAGGTGTTTGGTATCAAAGAGGCCCTGTAGCTTCGAATTTTGTGGAGGGGCAGAGGGAGGAGTATGTGGAGCTGGCAAGGAGGCTGAAAGGCATGCTGGTGCAGATGGAGGAATAGGACAAGGCCAAGGCGCTCGGCAAGGTGTTCGGCATCAAAGAGGCAGTGTAGTGTGCTGTGTTCTTGATACTAAGAGCGTATTCCTATCCTCGTATCAAGAGAACCTCATATCATCTTCCCACTGAAAATTCCCCTAAACCCGAAACCTCTCGCTAGTTTTACCAGGCAACAAGTACAATCTTGATATGAGGTTCTCTTGATACGAGGATAGGAATACGCTCTAATGTCGCATATGTTACAATCAAATTCTTCACTCTTCTGGAAAAGGTTGGGAAACATTATCAGAAAATGCTCTATCACCCGTCACCCGTAACAATTCTCGGGGCTTATCTTGTGGGGACGGAGCAAGGTACAGTTTCTAGTCAAATACTAATGCATGTATGCTGGATTTTGAGCCTGCGAAGTTTAACAGGTGTACATAATCCGAAGCGCGGGTCTCCCTATACCTGGAGCTGGTTGTTCAACGAACCTTGCCAACAAGAAAAATCGTGGCGAAATTCGTTCATCGCCGACATTGGTCTGACACCCTTGGGATTGGTGTGGTGTCGGGCCAACGGCTACCTCCTTTCACACGTGGTTTTCCAACTTCGAACTGACACATGTTCTCCAGACACGAAATTTGCGAAGTCGATCGGCGTCGCCAATGCATAGCTGAATCGTCAAACAACAGAAAAGTCAGCTGAGCAAGGTTACCCTTCACGATCTGCGGTGTAACAGACAGAATTCGTCGTTCGGGCTCAGTTCGTGAGGATAGGAACGGCCTCGTTCACGTTACCCCAAGGTCTCGGTTCGCTCGGGTTTCACTTCCGAACAATCAGGTTCTTTAGAATACTGTACTGAGTCATAATTCCATTTCTTCTACACCTCCTCGGGATTCCCTTCGTTGCTTTCAAGTCACGCTCCGTGAGCGTGACAGTGGCCTTCGAGTTAATATCCGTCAGACTTTGTATGATTAGCAGTTTTACCTGAAACCACGACATAGAGTTGTATGTTTTGGAGTTTTAAGCTGCTACGTGCTGTATTGGGGCGTTTCGCCCCTTCCAGCTAGCGTCATGTGTCGGCTGATGGTGTATTTAGGCACGCCATGCCTACTAGCCGACTTGGTTACCAAACCGTCTAGATCGCTAACGCGTCAGTCTTACGACGCTAAGGAACGTTTAACGGGTCATGGATACCTTAACGGGGACGGATTTGGGATCGGGTGGTACTCACCCGAAGGCCAAGGTCCTTTAGCGATCGAGGATCCGACGCCTTGCGTTTTCTCATCCATTCAGCCAGCCTGGAACAATGGTAACCTCAAGCGGTTGGCGAATAAGATCATTTCGCCACTCATCTTCGCTCACGTTCGCGCGGCGTATCCGGGAATCCCCGTCAATGACTCCAACTGCCAGGTCCGATGATGCCGTGTTACGTCCGTCAGGGATCTGATCCGTTTCTCCCTCACTGCTTGCAAGGAAGTGACGTTGTTCACCTCGTTAACGAAACCCGTTCGAACGTTGGATGATGGGAAACGTTCTTAGTTGTCTGGGGTATGAATGCGTGGTTGGTTGGAATTGGAAGCAACCGAATCTGCCTCTACCTCCTCATGCTTTTCCACTGCCTTGCTCTGCGCAGTCGTTGATGCGTCCTCCATGCACCTCAGAAATCGTAGTCCTTGCTGTCTCTCCTGTGCCATGCCGGCAGGACATACAAACGTCTCCTTTCTTCTACAATGTTTAAGGCGTTTAACGAATGATTGTGAGAATGTCTTCCTTTTCGATGATTACCTTCTCTTTCCTCCCTCCATCTGTCGTGTTCACCCTGTGGCATGTCTGCACACACAACGGCCAGGGTAATAGCATTTCACAACGTGATTATTTGGGTGTTGGACTCTAATTTACCCCACGTCCCCCTATGTCCTCCTTCCGTCTCTCAGCCTGCATGTCCATCCTGTGGTTCCTCTGGATGCACAAGGAAGGGATCAGGGGCTTCCACAACGTGCCTACAAAAGTGCTTCCCTATCCCTTCCACGTCCTCCAGCCGTTCGTGTGCGGGCGGTACATATGGATGCACAACGGCGGGGTGGGAGGGTTCCACAAGGTGCGGAGAAAGCTGCTGGAGTCGCTGCGGGACGACGTGTACCAGCAGTGCCCCTCCTTCGAGTCTGATTCAGCCATCTGCTTTGCTCTCTTCCTCAACCAGATCCAAGACCCCATGCAGCAGCTCGCTCCAGGTATCCGTTTGTTCATCTTTGTTTTGCTTTGTCCAGCTGCTCGCGCCACGGGTTTCAGAGGATCTTCCTAAAATTTCGTGGTTGGAATCATGACGACTCGTTTACACGTCTCATCGTCTTCGCGGAACCAAACTCAGCTTCATGCGTCAATTCATATGCATAACATCTCCTTGACCTCCCATCGGTGCAGAGGAGCTGGTGGTTCGGATGGAGGCGACGGTGGACGAGGTGAACGAAGCGCAGCCTCATACATGCATGTGTGTGCATTGTGACTTGACCTCCCATTGTGCCTGCCGTGCACGCAGAGGAGCTAGTGCCTCGGATGGAGGCGACGACCAATGAGGTGAACCAAGCGCAGCCTCATACACACATGTGTGTGCATTGTGTTGTGACCTCCCATCTTGTCTGCTGCTGTGCATGCAGAGGAGCTGGTGGCAAAGATGGAGGCGACGATCAACGAGGTGAACCAGCTGTGTGGCGAGGCAGGGGTGGCAGACGAGCTCTCTCTGCTCAACTTCGTTGTTTCCGACGGCCGCACGGTGGTGGCCACCAAGTGAGTTTACTTCATTGCTTCCATTAGCTCACTTTACTTCACTCTGCTCAACTTCGTTGTCTCCGACGGCCGCACGGTGGTTGCCACCAAGTGAGTTTACTCCCATGGTCATTTGTCGGAGAACACCTTTCCTCTGGCACCTGCTCCTCTTCCTGCTTCCATTCTTCTTTCTTTCCTTGCATGTGATGTTTCACCTCAGCCACTCCCATGAAGAAGTTCCCTCCCTCACCCCGTAGGTTCCCTCCTAGTGGCGTGCTGCTGGATGTAGGATCTAGAGCAACTGATTTCACTATGACGAGAGAATAACAAGCGAAAAGCATGGACTGGATGTTCCTGACTGAACTTACCTTGCCCAGGCTCAAGTCGCACATTTCACAATGTGCGGCTCGAGTTTGGGCTGGTCCTCCCTGATTGGTTCAATGCATTTCGCCCCTCGGTCCTTTCCCTCCCATTCCTAACGTCAAATTCGTCCTCCCCCTACTCAACCTCAACTTCCATTCCAACATTCGCTACTCCACAATCTACACCCGCGCAACACTGTCATCCCATATGCACAAAGTGCATATTTGGTGACACATTGCCACCAGACGAGCTCTCTCTGCTCAACTTCGTTGTTTCCGACGGCCGCACCGTCGTTGCCACCAAGTGAGTTCAGTTTGGTGCTGGCCACCCAGTGAGTTTAATTCAGTGCTGGTGATTCATTATGTTCATTAACTAGTTCGCTGGTTGCCACCGCACCGATTGAGGTCAGTCCTTCCTTCTCTTCTCTCCCTCCTCTGCTGCAGACACCGAAGAAGGAGTGCGTAGCGCTGCATGGAGTGTTTGGAGAAGGGGCGTACATACCTCTGCTTTTCATGCCATATTCCCCCCTCCTTCTCCTTCCGCCCTCCCACCCGGCAGGTACTGCAATCTGCCCCACGAGGAGTGTGCGACGCTGTACTACGCGAGTGGCAGCCGGTTTGAGGCGCTGGACGGCAGCAGCAATGATTACTTGGTGCGCCACGCCGACCGCCGCGGGCTGCTGGGGATCGTGGCCAGCGAGCCGCTCACTGATGAGAGCGCGGACTGGATTCAGGTAAGAGGAGTGATGGGGGTGGGGGGAAGGGGGAAGAAATTCCAGCGAGCCGCTCACTGATGAGAGCGCTGACTGGATCCAGGTGAGGGAGAGGTGGGGGGAGGGGGCGGAGAAAGAGGGGACAGGGTGGGTGGATTGATGCTGGGGATTGTGGCCAGTGAGCCGCTCACTGATGAGAGCGCGGACTGGATCCAGGTGAGGAGAGATGGCGGGGTAAAGGGGGGTGATGGGGATAGTAATATAGGTTGTTTAAGTGAGCCGCTCACTGATGAGAGTGCGGACTGGATCCAAGTGAGAAGTGTTAGAGGGGAAAGGGGGGTAGATGAAGCTGGGCTGGCGGAGAGGGTGGGTGGGATCGTGGCCAGCGAGCCGCTCACGGATGAGATCGCTGACTGGATCGAGGTGAGGAGTAATGGGGCGCAAGGGTAGAGCTGCTCACGGATGAGAGTGCCAACGCATTCCTCTCCTCTCCTTTCTGTTCCTCTCCCCTTGCCCCTCAGCCCTCAGGTGCCGCGCAACACTGCGGTGGTGATGACGAGGTTCAAGGGCGAGTTCCTGGATGTGCTGCTTCTGAATCCCTGAACCCCCAACCCCTCTCCCCTTTAGGTCCCGCGCAACACAGCGGTGGTGATGACTCGGTTAAAGGGCGAGTTTGTGGATGTGCTGCTGGTGCCCATCAACCCGCCCCCCTCTGTGGCTCGCGACATCTCACGCGCCTTCAAGGCCCTCGCCAGCTGCCCACCCACCTCCCTCAAGGTCTCCCTCCGACGCCCCAGGCGAGCACAGGCCAGGAGGCGACGGGTGTCTGCTGAGGCTCAGCAGCAGCAGGTGGGGCAGTCTCCAGTTTCCAACACCTCATCTCAAGCAGCGTTCTCTGCTGCAACGACTCCTCCTCCTCTTCCTGCTGCTGCTTCTCCGGCTGCTGCTGCGGCTGGCAGTGGATCACCGGTGGTGCTACCAGCAGGAGGGGCGGCAGGAGGAGCGGGCAGCTGGAAGGAGGGTCTGCGAGACCTGGTCAGAGATCAGGACGGCAGGGCTGCCACGGGAGACGAGGAGGAGGATGATGAGGACGAT